GAGAAAAAGCAATATTTCACTCATACATATAAAATCATAGATTTCTGAGGAATCGAACCTTACAAATTAACAGAGTCTGATTAGGGGGAAAACTGATTAACTGGTTGGGAAGGAGAGCATAGGGAAGAATTTACAGATGAACACAATGGAATGGAAATGCCTCAGGAGCAGTGTGATGGGTGTAACCAGATAAATCTAAGCTCCTTGTGGAGGAAGGACAAAGCAATGTCATCCTACATAGCATGTTCTGGGAAAAAGAAAAACAACAACTAGCACCATACAGTCCCCTTCCTATGTCCTTACAGGGTAGTGAGCATCCAGAACAGAGACACTTGGTACTTAGAACCCCAGGGACTAGGTGGGAATCCCAGGTGGACCATAGCTGAAGGTCTTTAACTTGGCCTACATTTTCTCAGCACTAGGTAAAGGTAAAAAGGTAAAGGCCCTCCCGTTGATCGTCGATTTGCTCGAGCGGGCCCAGTAACGTCTCCATTGGAGACTTTGTTGTTACTGTGTCTGGCATATCGAATACTCTCGGTAGCTTGCCGGGCTCTCCGAGAGGGGCGGAGGAATCGAACTCGGGTCAGCCAACATGTTGGCCGCTTGTAAGGCGAACGCCCTACCACTGTGCTATCGCTCCAGCCCATAGTTCTCAGTACTAATCTATAAAAATAAAATCATGAACCAAGTGAAAGCACCCTTGTAGCAGCTGCCTACCACAGGGTTCAGTCTCCTGCCTCAGTCTCTGTCAGGGAACCAAACAAAGCTGGAAATCTGAGCATCTAGACACTTTTTACCTTCCCACCATTCAAATTCACCCAGTTTCTTGCAGCTTTGAGGAGCATCATGTGAACTGAATGAGCATCAGCCAGACCCTTTTCACACTTGGGAGCACTGGATGCTGAGTTGGAAGATTGAGAGAAAATAAACAGAAATAAGCCAGGCTGGGTCACAGACCATAACTGAGATAGAACTTTAAAAAAGTGTTAAACTTCTGAGATGTTGAAATAGGACAAACTAAATTTCCACTATTAAAATAATTTTTTTAATTTTTATTAGTGAAGCACCATGATGTACAGTTGTAGACTTACAAATTTTTGTGCTTGGGTTTCAGTTATACAATGATAGAGTACCCATGCCTCCACCGGTGCCCATTCTCCACCACCACTGATCCCAGTATCCCTCCCATCCCCTATCCCCCCATCCCACCCTGCCTCTGTGGCAGGGCATTCCCTTTTGTTCTCTCTCTCCTTTTGGGTGCTGTGGTTTGCAAAAGAGGCATTGAGTGGCAATCATGTTCGGTCTATAGTCTACTCTCAGCACGCATCTCCCATCCTGGGAAAAATAAATCTTAAAGCCCTAATATGCATCAAGGAATCCTCACTAACACCCGCGTAGTCCTGACACTGCCATGTACGTTACAATTATAAGCTCAATTATCACTCATAAACTGCGTCATTCACCAATACCTGAAGACAAAGGGGTAAAAACACTTGGCAGAGACATGCTCCCACCACTTCATTAGCTTTGTTCTCTGATTCTTGCTATTAATATGTCCTAAGAGAACATGTTCTACAGCAAGAAAGCACTGTTTCAGATCTTATCAACCATCAGCAACGCTCTTTTAGGGAAAGACACAGGCCTATGAGTCAAATGCTTCAGGAAGGTCAGTCTTGGCCAGCTGGAAAGGCATCTTTGTGATTGAGAAAGCCGAATGCTTGCTACCATCAAAAGATCCACAAGGGGGTGCTCGATTCCAGCCTCAGAGTCCTTTAGCCCTTTATGAATTTATTGTGAACAAGAGAAGTGGCCTTAGAAGAATATTTTTCAAATTAGAGTTTATAAACTATCATTATCCCGTGAAATTAATTTTGTGAGCCATTATCCCACTTTTTTAAAGTTTCAGTATAAAATACCTAAGGGCACTGCATTTAGCAAGGGTAGAATTTGGAAAAAGTTTTATCTCAGCGACATATAAATGATACGTGATGTATGCTGGGTAAAGTACTAGGTTTTTGTTTTCACTATGATTCGTAGGAAAAATAGTTGACAACCATTCTCTCGGAGAGTAATAGATCATATGCATAAAGAAATCCCTACATTTTGAAAGAAACAAAACAAGCTTGTCTTTCCCTCTGGTAAAAGCTGAAACGAGGGCAAACTCCCTGATGCTAAGAGCTAGAGCTAATGTCTCAGCTCAACTCCAGTCTGGGAAGAAAGACAAGTACAAGGCCAAGTTCTCAATGGTTGCGAATTAAAGATTAATTAAATTTGTTTTTCTTTCAACCAGGAAAACCTAGACCCTGGCTTCTGGGCTAGCCTGCCAATGTCGTCTAAGTCTGTGCCAGTGGCCTGATGCTAGAGTCCCTGCCAGTTGGCCTCTATTTTATATATACTCACACCTAGAAGAGGAACAATCCACACCGAACTCTGTGGGGTGGAAAAGAATTGCATAGATCTCAACATACCCTGCCCTGCTGCCAGCGACACCCTGTGGTTGTCTGCCATGAGTCACAGCTTTTGCAGAAATACCACCAACCTCTTTCATGGCGGACTTCAAACATTCTCCTTTTGCATGGAAATCTTCCTAATGACCATACCTTCCTTTTCTGGTCTCGTTAACATCTCCGAAAGTTCTCCCCAACAGAGGACCAAGCCCTGTGTCCTAATAACCATGGACCCTCCATAAATCTTTGTTCATGGGCTGAGACTTGACATTATGGTGTAATTAAGCCTGTGCTCTCCACGACCCTGCCCAGTCCCCAGAGGGCAATTTAAATTTGTATCTCTAAACTCTTCAGGAGCCCCAGAAATCTGAGCTCTTGCCTGGATGCAGCACAGAAGCACACACACATGAGAAAACATTGTCCAACTTGAGCATGTTTAGCATCCTTTGGGCTGAAGTCTTACTACAATTGAGACGTTAAAGATAAGTTTGACTAAGAAGCAAAAATAGGGACTGGAGCAATAGTACAGCAGATAGGGGTGCTTGCCTTGCCTACCCTTTGACAACTCCTTGTCGATTCAGTTCTTCTCTGGTCCAGTCAAGGTCAGATCCTGATCCATGCTCCCCTGGGTTTCTGGGCTTTTCCTCTGACACCCAGCACACTTGTCAACACTGATTTGGTCAGGTATTCTGAGAGAACAAGGACCAAATGCTGTGTCCCCAGCACAGAGTCTGACTTAAGCAGGACCCCAACAATTTCTTCAGGGATGAAAATACCCAGACTAATTCCAGCCTCTTCCCTGGGACCCTCAGTAACAAGAGAAACCCCTTCCTGGGACTGGAGAGATAATACAGTGGGTAGGACGCTTGCCTTGCATGTGGCTAATGTGGGTTCAACTCCACGTGGTCCCCCAGCATTGCCAGGAGAGATCCCTGAGTGCAGAGCCAGGAGTAAACCCTGAGCATCGCCATGTGTGGGCCCCCAAAAAGATAAAAATGAAGAGAAGCCTGTCCTTTATAGTAGATTAACTCCTGCTGCTGCCGCTGCTTTATATCACCTCCTTTCTCTCTTCAAGGAGCAAAACCTGGTCAATTGGAGTGAATTCTCTCACTAGATAGCACAGCGGGTAGGGCGTTCGCCTTACAAGCGGCCAACATGGCCGACCCAAGTTTGAGTCCTCCGCCCCTCTCAGAGAGCCCAGCAAGCTACCGAGAGTATTCGATATGCCAGACACAGTAACAACAAAGTCTCCAATGGAGACGTTACTGGGCCCGCTCGAGCAAATCGACGATCAACGGGAGGGCCCTATAGCCAACCTTTGTTAGCTTTGTGCTCAGCAAGATGATACTGTATCTAACCACATGATCATCACCATGAAGAATCACCACGCTCTGTTTTTCTTCCCCAAAATTGATTTATAATCTTTATTTGAAAAGCTTCACCTAGTGGTCACACCCCATTTTTTTACAACAACAAACAAATGGAATAAAATTCATGACAATTAGGTAGTGAAATATGGTATGTTCTAAGAACCAAATTTTGGGTCCAAGAGCAGCACATTTGGCCCTCACTGACTTCTGCTAAACTTAAGCTTCTCCTAAGACCCCAGCATCAAAAATTATTGGAAAAGAAACATGCTGTTGAAGCCAGAGCAATAGTACAACAGGTAAGCCTCTTGCCTTGCACACAGTCAATCTGGGTTTGATCCCTGGCATCCCATATGGTCCCTGGGCCTACCAGAAGTAATTCCTGAGTACACAGCCAGGAGTAACTCCTGAGAATAGCTGGATATGGCCCAAAAATCAAAAAAGAGAAAGAAGGAAGGAAGGAAGGAAGGAAGGAAGGAAGGAAGGAAGGAAGGAAGGAAGACAGGCAGGCAAGCAGGCAGGCAGGCTGGGAGGAAGAAAGGTAGCTTGGGAGGGAAAAAAGGGATGGACAGAAGAAGAGGTATGTGCTGAAATAAAGCAGAAAATTACAGGGCTATAAATTATGGAGGATGAATCAAACAAGAAAAGCCAAAAAGGACCTAAAGGTCAATTAAGGTCAAATAGTTTGCCAAAGGGACCCCCAATTGAATACTTGCCAATCAGATACTTTCTCAGGATTTCTTCTTATGACTTCTACAAAATCTGCTCTGCTTTTAGAGCTCTTTGACTTCTACTGAAATGCAGTTATCTATGTCTGGTTTCTAGGTTTGGAAAAATCATGGGCTGAAGCAACCTAAGGGACAAAGGCCCAGGCTTTCTCTTGTTGTCTGCACCATCTCTGAGAACTTTGGGGAACTGAGCAGAGTTCATGAAGCCCAGGTAGCGCAACCAAGAAGAGAGACGCATTCTTGAGAAGTACAGATCTTTTATATAGCTGGAGCTTTTAGGTTAGATACAGACATTTAAAGCCAGAAAAGGAGTGAGAGACTGTTCCAGCTCATTTTATTAAAAACCCTCTCATTTTATGATAAAGTCTAGTACATTGCTAACTACCCATGTGACTTTAAATGGCAAAGTCACATGGCTAGTTAGCAATGTAGCTGGAGTGAAAACCCAGGCCCCCATGCCCAGCTTTCTTCTAGACTGCCTGAGACTGTTTTCTAGATGGAGATGACTCAGCCTTCAAATGAAGGTTTTAACATCGATTGCTTTTTTAAATTTTTATTAGTGAAACACCATGAGGTACAGTTGTAGACTTACAAATTTTTGTGCTTGGGTTTCAGTTACACAATGATCCAGTACCCATCCCTCCACCAGTGCCCATTCTCCATCATTTACATTTTTTTAGAATTTTTGTTAGTGAAACACCATGAGGTACAGTTGTAGATTTACAAATTTCTGTGCTTGGGTTTCCATTGTACAATGATCAAACACCCATCCCTCCACCAGGGCCCATTTTCCACCACCACGGGATGGGGGGATGGAGGTGGGAGGGATACTGGAAACATCGATTTTTTTTTAAGTGCATGAAGGTGGAAAGAGAAGAAATTTAGTACAATGAGGCTGGTTGGCTTAGGGTGACAGAGAAACTTACTTTACACTGCTTAACAAAATAGACTCCTATCAACTTGATTTGTTTCATTCTTTATTCTCTTCAAAGATGCAAAGGTGGCTGGAGGGTTGATTCTCCCCACTCCCCCAGTTGACTCATCCATGCCCTTGACAATCTGAATGTAGGCCAGGGGTGAGTGAGTTAGAGGGAAAGATATTCTAAGGAAGGTGAATAGATTGAGACTGTGGTGGCAGGTTCTGGAGAACTGCAGGAATCTTCTTTGAAGGACAAATACATGGAATTACTCAAGCTGTCTTGGCTGCTGAAGTAGAGCACAGCACTTCTTAAATCAACTTCAGATACTTGATTAATATAGGCATGAATTGGACCTCTATCTGCACGTTAGCCGCTCAAGTCTAACGGTTGGAATTTGCTTATTATCGTGTATGCAAATCATATTATTAATCATGATCCCCAATGCATGCAGTGTTCTTCCCAGGCTCATCCTGAGGGATCACAATGCCATCATCCACTCCTGATGGATGTTCCTCGCCTGGCAGATGCTCTGTGCAGGCGACACCCCAGGAAGGCACCAGTAGTTCCATCAGGAGCTGCCTCTTCAGACCCTCTGAGACCAGGGCTGGTGGTTTTCTGGCACTGCGGTGATGCACTAGGAAGGAACAACAGATAGATAGTTCACTCTGGGTGCTCCCCGAGCACCCTCTCACATGCAGGCCACCCCACCCAGGAGACGTGTTCCCAGGGCAGTACGGGGTTCTTGTCTATGTGGCCAGAGCTCAGGCAGGATCTGGGGATCACCACACAGTCATGGTCCTTCTCTTGGAGCCCTTGCAACCTTGCAAAGATTTGGAGAACCAGGAACTCTAGCACGCCTACGAAGGGGAGTCTAAGTTCCTGGTGTGTATATGTGTGTGTGTGGTAATGTCGCAAAGGGGCGACATTACCACACACACACATATAAATCCCTACTTCTGGGATGGACAGATAATACAGGGGTCAAGGTATATGCCTTGCACATGGCAGACCCCAGTTCAATCCCCTGCACTGCATGTGGTCCTCTGAATGATCCCTGAGCACCACCATGGCCCAAACACCAATAAAATAAAATAACATTCTTGCTTTGGATCCAGGGTCTGTGGGTGGAGGAGCAGGTAGTGCAGGAGATCATCTTCAGTCTGCAGAGTCAGCTGACCAAGCTCCCCCGAGTCAGGTGACAACCTCCTCTCAGAATGGGGTTTCGGTAACTGTCAGCAGGCAGGCAGTGCAGTGGGGCGTTTGGAACTGCACCACTTTGGATTCTCAACCCAAAGCTCACCTAGTGGGCAGCCCTAGAGTGGAGACCCGTTTGCTCCAGTCTCAGGGCAAGGGATCTGGATGACACATTCATTTGCCTCAAGGTTCTTGGGGGGTAGAAGGGTAAACCTCCCTATCCCTGAAACACTTTGGGTCTATGAGGACTCACTTGGCCATTAAATCCAAAAGGTCTCTCAAGTTCCTATCAACACCCAGGAGGAGTGTCAAGAGACCCAGCTTGGCCCAGAAAAGACCTGCTCTACCGGCTCAGCTGAGCTGTCTGTTGCAAAAGGCAGCTGTTTTGCTGTGTGTGTGAGAAGTGCCCAAGTTGTAAGGCTGATTAGAAGGGAGGTCCCAACAGGGACAGAGCTGTCTATCTGGGCAGGTTCTTATCTTGGCTGGGCTTGCCCACTCCGAGCACCACAAGAGTCTTCCAGGACCAGGACAGCCAGCTGAGACCCCCTGAGCTCCTGCTCACAGGCTCCCTAAGGCAATCACAGTTGTCACACTGCCCCCATCAGCTCTCTCCTGCTGCTCCCCTGACTCTTCCCTGTCCCCTCACACAGTTTCTTCTACAGAGCAGGGTCCCGGAATTCCAGCACAAGACACCCACAATTAGGCTCTGCTGGAGTTTCATTTATCAAATATTGAATTCAGCATATTCAGCAGCCCTCCGTGTTTGGGGGGGCATCCGAGTTCAGGCAGGCTCTACTCATTCTCCCGTCAGCTGGGAGAGTACCTACACGCAGAGCAAGAGGACCTGGGGACACTTCCCACAGGCTCCTAGGAAATCCACCCCCCACTGACTCCTGCAGCATCGAACCCTACACCCTGCTGTGCCCATGCCCCGGGCCCCACCCTTGGCCACCCAGAACAGAAGACAGAGACGCTACCAGGTTCGTGAACTTGTCCTTGCAGGCATTTCGAATTTTCTCTGGCGTGGCAGGGCTATCAAGCTGGAAAAGTTCACTGGTGTGACAGTCCATGTGCTGAGCTCGGGCCGCGCGGATAGCGTCCTTGATGGCGAAGAAGATGGAGGAGGCCAGGAAGAGGGGCGGCTCCCCAACAGCCTGGAGGAACAGCAGGGGATGGCATGAGGCGCGGGACACTCCGTTCAGCAAGAATCCAGTAAATGACCCAACCCCTGTAACTCGTTTTTTTTTTTTCCTTTTAAACTCAAGAAATAAATAAAAGGGCCAGAGCAATAGTTCAGCAGGAACGGTGCTGGCCTCGTGGCTGACCTGAGTTCAAGTCCCCTTGTGGTCACCCAAGTGCACCAGAGTGATCCCTGAATACAGAACCAGCGGTAAGCTCTGAGCACCACCAGCTGTCACAAAAAGAAAGAAAGAAATAAAGAAAGAAAGAAAGAAAGAAAGAAAGAAAGAAAGAAAGAAAGAAAGTGATTGTAGTTGTGGTAACATAGTTATAATAGTGTCAACATTTATCATTTTGATGTGCAAACCTACAGCACCCGCACCACCATCAAAATGCCAAAGATCCTGACCCATGTTTGATCCCTGGCATCCCATATAGTCCCCCGAGCACTGCCAAGAGTAACTGCACTGCCTGAGTGCACTGCCAGGAGGAATGCATAACCCCTGAGCATCACTGGGTGTGACCCAAAAAGGAAAAAAAATCCCAAGATTCTCTATCACTGTTTTATTTTTTAATTTTTTTAACTTTGGTTTTGTATACATTTGCATATATATGTATATATATATATATATTTGCAATAGTGCCAATAGTACTAGTTTATACTCACCAGAGAATCAGGATCTCTCCACCATTATCCCAAGTTCCCTTCTCCCTACGCCCTCTCAGCACCTCAGATCACAGTTCTATTGACTGAAAAGATATGGTTCTACTGGGTTCATATTATAGCATAAATCTATCTTATATTGCTGCTCCCTCTGTATGCCCCCTTATAGCATAAACACAGAGGGGGCAACTATGCTCTCACTCCCCTCCAAGAGGCACCCAACAGAGTCTGCAGAGATCAGACCCAATTTTTATTCTAAGAAGTTTGAAATAAGTTAGGTTTCATTTACTAAAATACCAAGCTCAGGGGCTGGGGAGATTACAGGGGGTAGGACACTTGCCTTGCACACAGCTAACAGATCCCTGACACCCCATATGGTTTCCCCAAACCCTGCCAGGAATGATCCCTGAGCACAGAGCCAGGAGCAAGCCCTGAGCACAGCTGGGTATGGCTCAGAAACCAAAATGAATGAATGAATGAATGAATTAGATACCAAACTCAGGCAAATATTTTTTTCTCAACCCCTCCTCTTAATTACCCTTTGTTTGGACATGTCAGGTATGCATTCACTTTTTAAGCTGATGATAGCAAGTGCTGTAACTTCAAAAGGTGTAGTTAGCTCGTGTCTGACCTCTCTGTTTCGGGGAAAGGGTTTCTATATTGTCATTTAACTTTTTGGGGTCTCATAGTGTAAGTTTTTTCTAGTCACGTCTTGCCTGTAGGAGGCTTGAAGGTTTATATTAAATAATATTAACAGTTATATTCAACTATGGGATTTGGGGGACAAAACCTTCTGACATGCGTTTAACCCGTTCTTCCCAGTTCTAAGCACAGAGGAACCTACTACTCCATTTTTCAACAGCCTCAACACCACACGGGACTGTCTGCTGAGACCTACACGGTGGAACACTTTCTAACTGAAGCTCGTTAGATCTTCCCCCACGTGCCCAGAGCATAGATCAGAAACCCATAGATTCAGGATCACAATGAGGCAGGATCCTGCCCAGAATCTACTGAACCCCACGTTCTTGGAGGTGCATCCCAACACCCGCATTTCCTATGAGCCCTGATTCCCAGGCATGCACGCCCTAAGCTCTGGTGGCAGAAGGGATGCCTTCTGCCTTCCAGAGGCTGCCCATCTTCAGTGATGCCAACTCTCAGGGACCAGGGGGCCATCTCTAGGATCAGGCAACCCTGGGGACCAAGAGATGGCCGGGATGTGATTAATCAGGGTAGAGTAAGGGGCACCTCTGAAAACACCCCAGGAGAGCAGGCTCGACCTCACGGGGGTTGGGAGGTGTCATCCTCAGTCCATTCACCGGTTCCTGCCTGGACAACCCCCTCCTCTCTTCCAGGGACACCCCTGCAGGCCCCCAATGCCACTGGTCAGTCCCCTCATCGTCACCCTGGCCTTCCTCGTGAAGAGTATGAACCCAGGGGTTCCCGGCGGGGGACACAGTACCTTGGATGCATAGATGGCCTTCTTGTTGGGGCAGTCCCGGAGCAGGGACACCCGGAACTCCGTAGGGATGCTGCCAAAGGCAGGGATCTTGTAGGTGCCGGGGCCGCGGGTGTGCAGGGACCCTTCCGGGGAGTAGTGCAGCTCCTCCAGGGTGAAGAGGCCAAGACCCTGGACAAATGCTCCCTCCACCTGAAGGACACAGAGATATCTTGGTTGCCCTGCCCTCCTTTCTCATGGAAAGCCACTGGAAATAGCCCCTTCTCCCCTTGCCCTCCAGAACAGAGACAGTGAAGCCACTGGGTGGGAAGTAAGTGTCAGATCTATCAGCCAAGCAGGAGGGCTGTGAGGTGGCCACATCTTAGCTGGGCAGTGGGAACTGCTCCTGCCATGATGTTTTGGGGTGACCCCATGTGAAGGAGAGAGACTGAGTGTCTGACGGTGCCTCAGGGTCCTTCCTGTGTGTCTGAGCGGGGCCAGGCACTTCTGAACAGCTCCACAAAGTAGGAGGATCAGCTTGAAGAGGGACTCCCAGCCTTTACCTCCCTGAGGCTACCTTTCAGAGGCAGGGTCCCCTCCCAAGGTGGTAAAGCTCACTCTTAGGGGAACTTCCCAGCTCTGTGGGTTCACATGCTCAGTCTCCCTGCTCAGAATTGAGGGAAAGCTCTCATCCAGGAGAGCCCCTGCACAGGTCACCTCTGTGCCTCGCGGCCAAACCCCACCCCACCCCCCCGCCCAGCCTGGAGCCTCCCCAAAAGTCTGTTCAATGACTCCCTTTTTGGCCAGATGCTACCCCACTCCCAACTTCACAAAATCTCCCTCTTTTCTCCTCCTCGCTGGGCCGAACACACTCCTATTTCCATTTGACTCTCCCTTCACTCTTGCTGTGTCTTTTGCCCCCTACCCCAGGGAACATTTACTCCAAAAGTGCAGTAGCTGCCCCCCTAAGTGGGAAAGGAACTATGGGACGAAGTGTCTGACCTGCGGCCCCACTGCTGGACAGTGATCCAGACTTAGTCGTCTTTCACTCTGTGTGCCTTCCCACCCTGGGTGCACACATGCCTCACATGTTTGTGCCTATGTGAACAGATGCATGCACATGTGCCATGCAGATGTGTGTGGTTGTGCCTATGTGTGTTTCTGTTCATGTGTGCATCTCTGTGCGCTTGTGCGACCATGGGCACACATGTTGTACACATGTGCCAGTGTGGGGTGGAATGTGTGCGCATGTACGTATGTGTGGGCACCTTCACAAGTGCAGCCCTGATGTCGCCTGTTCATCACCTTATTCTGGGAGGTCTGAGTGCCCTTTACAAGTCAGTTTGCAAACCCTTGTCTTCTGCCTGGAGAGGCAGATGGACTCTCACTCACCAAAATCCCACTCTGAGGAAGGCATGTCTGATACCAGACCCCATTGAAAAGCCACACCGAATCTGACTGGTGACCCTAGGGGGTCCCGGGGCAGCTGTGTTGGAGTTATCCATCACCGTCTTGAGCCCCTGTGAGTCTTACCTGCCCAATGTCGATGGCAGGGTTCAGGCTGGAGCCGACGTCCATCACGATGTCTGTGCGCAGGTTCTAAGGGGTCAGAGGCATAAGCATCTTTGAGAAGGTGCGATGGCAGCTGGATCTTGGGGCCTGATACTACCTAGGGCCCGATCAGAAAGGGCGTGCTCTGCTGTCCCCCCACCACCACCACCACGGTCACTGCTAAGGTTTGCATTCTAAATGTCTGGAGCCAAAGGACAGAGAGAGCAAGAGTGATTGTGCCTGCCACAGAGGCAAGAGGTGGGAAGGGGTGGGAGTGGGGGAAGGATACTGAGAACATTGGGGGTGGGGAATGGGCACTGGTGGAGGGATGGGTACTTAAATATTGTTTGACTGAAACATAATTGTGAAAGTCTGTAAGTTTGTAATTGTATCTCATGATGATTCATTAAAATGCGCTGTCCTCCCGTTGTTCATCAATTTGCTGGATCAGGCACCAGTAACATCTCACAACAAATTGTGAGACTTATTGTTACTGTTTTTGGCATATTGAATACGTCACGGGTAGCTTGCCAGGCTTTGCCATGCAGGTGAAATACTCTGGGTAGCTTGCCAGGCTCTCCGAGAGGGGCGGAGGAATTGAACCCAGGTCAGCCACGTGCAAGGCAAACACCCTACCTGCTGTGTTATCACTCCAGTATTTGTCTTCATTTCTGGGTACACCAACACCCTCCCTTCTCATATTGGAACTTCCAAGTATTTCAGATTCAACTTGCAGAGTTTCTTTTTCACTTGGCTCTTCTCATAATAATAAATAAATAAACATCAGGAGCTGGGGCCAGAGATACTACAGACGGGAGGGCATTTGTCTTGCACGTGCCTATGAACTCATGATGGAACTTACAATTTTTTTAATGACTGGAGAAAAATCAGGGGAGGAATATGTGGTGATGTGAAAATGATATGAAATTGACTTGCAGCTGACATCAACCTCATGCTCAGTTTCTGTGCTCTGTGGTTTTACCCCCACTAAGAGGAATGACTTGAGTCATGGAGTTAGAGTCTCTGTGGTCCAGAAAGCTTGAAGAGTGTTTCTCTACTCTTGTTAGGAAGCTGGCAGAGACCTAATATAAAATACTATTTTTTTCTTTTTTAATTGAGTCACCATGAGATACACAGTTAAAGCTTTTCGTGATCAGGTTTCAGTCATATAATGATCCAACACCCATCCCTCCACCGGTGTCCATTTCCCACCACCAATGTCCCCAGTTTCCCTCCCATCACACCCCCTCCCCCAGCAGGCACTTTCCTGATCTCTCTCTCTCTCTCTCTCTCTCTCTCTCTCTCTCTCTCTCTCTCTCTCTCTCCCTTCTTCCCTCTTGGTTATCATGTTTTTTCCTTTACCTCCTTTCCGCACGCAGTTCCTAGCCAGAGTGATCATTTCCAACTATCTTTGTCATAATGGTCCCTTCTCTATCCCACTGCCTTCTCCCCCAGCACTTGAGGCAGGCTTCCAACCATGAACTAATCCTCCTGGCCCTTGTTTACACTGTCCTTGGGTATTAAGTCTTATTTTATGTTTTCTTTTTATATTCCACAAATAAGTGCAGTCATTCCATATCTGTCCTTCTTCTGACTCATTTCACTCACCGTGATTCTATGTTCATCCATTTATAAGTGAATTTCATGACTTTACTTTTCCTAACTGCTGCATAGTTTTTCCACCGTGTAGATGCACCATAGTTCAAGACACTATTTTCCCCATCAGAAGTTCTGTGTCAACCAGCTATTGGTATTTCAATATAGCTGTTTCTCTTCTCTTTTTCCCCCTAAAAGGTAAGTTGTGCAAGTGTCTTACCTTATGATCCCCTGTCAGACAGTCAATCTCTACTTCAGAGCAAGCCACCCCATAGCTGAAGTAGTGGAAAGGATTTCCAGAGTTGGTCTCAAAGCTGTAGCCCAGGTTGGGTGTTCTGGGGAAAAAAGAGAAAATATTATGCTACTATTATGATGAACATATAAAAACTTCCTTCGGGCCCCTCATAAGAGGTTTTTCCTCCAAAATTTTAAAACACTAAAGATTTCGTTGTTCGGTGTCTTAACCTCTGTTGTATCTCTCCAGCTCTTTGGTCTCTGGCTTCATCTGCCTTTGAATTCTCCCTGACAGAACCCCAGTTTTATCAATGCCAAAAACCACAGAGAACCTTCTGAGAAAATTTGTACTCATTTGTGATTGTGTAATTCAAATACCCTGCATAGCCTAAGGGACATTGGCAACTCATAGTTTTTGGTCCCAACAAATACAGTTTCACAGCTTCATAAAATCACACAAAACTTTTTAAAGCAAATTGAGCCATTTTCCACCTCTACCAATCTGCAGAAGAAAGGATTCTGGCTTCATTTCCTATTCCCATAGTTAAAGATTCCTGTAGATAATCAACCATCGCCTTATGGCTTATAAATCAGATGAATGGGACCCCCAACTCTCCCTACTGCTACTGGATTTTCAAATTAAAGAAAAGTCAGCACTATTTTGTAAATCTCACTATAAATTCTGTTCAATGATAAGACCAAGAGCTCTAAGTCCTTTGGATGAAAAGACTCTAGTAATGCAAAGTAACACAGCAGGGTAACTAAGATATAAGGACCTCATGCTGGAGCGATAGCACAGCGGTAGGGCGTTCGCCTTACAAGCGGCCATGTTGGCCGACCCGAGTTCGATTCCTCCGCCCCTGTCAGAGAGCCCGGCAAGCTACCGAGAGTATTCGATATGCCAAACACAGTAACAACAAAGTCTCCAATGGAGACGTTACTGGGTCCACTCGAGCAAATCGACGATCAACGGGAGGGCCTTTACTTTACCTTTTATATCAATATGAATGGCTGATAATTTTCTTTTTCTCTTATAATTAGGAAAGCCTATTCAGAGAGAACCCTTAATTTTCTCAAGTGAAAATAAACTTTAAGACCAGAACCAGAAGGTAAGACTTTAGATATGGCAGCTTTTGCTTCTGTTCCTCGGAACAGAAGGAGTAGAGCTAGTGGAGCATCCCATGGTCCTTAGAACTCGTGGAGCAATTCTATGTTTTCTCAAGTATCTTCTAAATGAAATGAGTGGCAGTCCATTAGAAGAGATAACATTAAGTGTATGGGTGGAACTGTTCCGTCCTGACCTCAGACTGGCAGAATTCAGAGTGGGACACTGGAAGATTAGAGTACCACAGAATACAAGGTAAATGAGGTTGGCAACACACTCACTTGTAAAACCCAGTAGCAGACAAGCTCACAGTATTCTGGTAGGCATCTAAGACCTAGGAAAAGAGACCGTCATAAGCGAGGGGTAAGTGTGATACCTGGAAACTCTGTGACATGACGTTTTCATGAGCTCATTCTCCCCCTCACTGGGAATCTATTCAACTTTTAAGTAATGACCTACTCCCGCCCTTTTTCTTCCCTCTTCACCCCTACACCAGGGGAACATTAACCCAGAACTCATCTAAGTGAGTGGGTATTAGAGACTCCATTGTATTCCTCACATGTACATTTCCTCTAACCCTTTGATCATTTCCCTATCTCTCGATCCCAAGAGACTTTCTTGGCTCTGAGCTACTGATGTTGAACCAGGTTCAGTTCGGGATTGGGATGGGGGAAAGAGAAAACAGCAAACCTCTGAGGACACTACTGAGGTTCACCATGCCCAAGGATTCCTCCCTCCCTTGGAGAAAAGCCAATAACAGGCTCTCTGGGAGGACTTTTGCCAGGTGATGGTGCAGGCCCTGGAAGATGGCCTGGCCAGGTCACAAGAAACAGAGCATCCTCCTCCAAGGAACCTTTAACCACTGATGCAGCCTGAACACTCAAGACAGAACTCCTCTTTCTTAGCCTGCAACCATGCATTTCTTCTAAGCTATTATCCCAATCAGCCATATATAAATCTCTATCCCTGAACTGAAAGTAAGGTTGAGGGAGGGGTGGGTTTGGGTGGACATGAGTCCAACATCTTCTCACATTGCTATGCCCTGAATAAATTTTTTTCTCATATCAATTCTTGTCTCTTGAATATTGACGTTCAAGCAAAGAGAACCCAAACTTGGATTTGGCAACACACAAATAACTGGGCTGGTGCATGTCAGGAAGACTTGTTGCTACTTAAATCACACAATGACATGAGTTTGTGATGACTATCCCATCCTCACTGTCTCCCAGAGAGAACCTCAAGGTGGCTCAATTCCAGTACTGGATGAGAAAAGGGACCCATCGGATAGCACTCTAAGAGAAAGAAGTGAAGAATGCTTCATCAGATTTAGTGGAATGTTAAAGGCAGGCCTGCGTGAAACACAATTTCACAGTGAGACCTATCCAACCATCACTCCCACTCCTTCTCCTCAGGCTCAGAGAAGCCCAATCCCCAGTTCCCATAGATCTGTCAAAGGCCATTTCCTCCAGAGACTCTCCTCAATTCTGAAGTACATCAATGAAGTTTGAGTATCTACCCTGGGGAGTATGTATTTACGCTGAGGATTTCTCTTTGTTGGTGTGACTAGTATGTGAGCTCGAGTTCCTACTCAGGGCTGAATGGAGGCCACATTCTGATTCTCCCTCCTTCAACAAAGGGATGTGTATGTGATCAGACTTACCCAGTCTTTCCAGGAGCCTTTGGGGTTCTTTTTCTTGAAGGGTTCCAGCCTCTGGAGAATGGTCTGACATGCTGCCTGCAAGCATACACAAACGCTTCAGCCCTCTGTATCCCCAACCCAAAGTATCACAGGGCTTCCACCAGGCTGCTGGGTACTGCTCTGCTCAGCAAGCCAATCTGCTCATAAAGCCGTTAAAACAGCCTTGACTTCTCTCAGTGATGGCCCAACTCATAGGCAAAGGCCCCAGACCCACCAAAGAGCACCATTAGCCTTTGATTAGAACTAGTTCCTGATGCCACACACCTGTAGACAGAATGAAATGTTTGATGGGCTTCCATAGAGGCATCCTCTACCCTCAGAGCCTATGGTTTGAGGGTACCCCTCCGGTCTCTTCCCTGAACCACTCTCCTCATTCCCTCTATTACCTCCCCTTCTTATGAGCTTTGATGAAAGTGATTTGGGCTCAGGGTTGCCTCTTAGCTTGGTCTTTGGAAGAACATAATTCCCCAAAACACCGAGTGAAAAACAAGGCCACATTTCAGGAGCAGGTAACTAGCCCTTTCAGCCTCCGACCCCAGGGATTCTCCTGGCTACCCCAAGACTCCTTACATAGACAGCTTGTCCATTGATATCGGTGCTGACGGAGGCCGCGGTGGGAGACGTGTTAGGCACTGTGTTCGTGCTGGTCTCGCTGATGTAGATCAGAGAGGTGGGTATTTTCAGAGCTTTGCTGGCCACCTGTGCAAAGAGACAACATCATCTTCCAAGGAAAGGATTCTCCTGGGACTTGGTTGCCTTCTCCCCAGGAAAAAGTCATGGTCACAGTTCCAAGCACAAAAATAAGCATGCAAACTGTAAACCTTGAAGGCTGACAAGTCCTCACATCTGGGTGAATATGAAACAATGCTTTATAGAGTAATTTAGTTGGATTTTAAAAATTAATAATTTTAATAGTGACTAAAAGCACCTATAAAAGTCAACCTTGGCATTTAGCTGGAGAATATGAAAACAACAATGTGAACATGAACTCAACCTCAATGCCACCAGTGATGGAGTGTGTATAGAGAAGCAACGTGCATATCTTCCATATAATATTATACAGAATATTATATATTTTTTGCTAAAAGGTGGGACCCTGCCTCAGGTTGCAGCATGGATAACACTACAGGTGATTTTAAACAGTGAAGCAAGGAAGAAAGTGAACTACCAAATGAGTTCACTGCTATGTAGGCTATAAATGACCAAAACAAAGTAGAGCAACAATGATTTTTAGACTTTTAGACTGTGGAAACTGTGGTAGTTCCCAGAGAGAAAAGGGACAGGGAGTGACAAGGATGTAGGAAGGGGGAGGACATTAGAGACTTCTAGAGACCTGGTGTCAGCATCTCCTCGTGGAAAATAAGCTCCTTGTACCATATGGCATGCCTACCTCACAACATCTCTGAGCCTGCCCATCTCCACCTTAAGGGTCAACTGGTCAATCCTACACTGATGAGTACACCAAGACCAGGAGAAATGATGTGTCCAAAGCCACAATAACAAACAGCAGAGCCAGATCCCAAGTTTCAGCCTGCTTCACCTTCTAGCATATTCCACTGCCCTGTCTCACAGGACTTCCCTCACACAGGCTCCATGAGGTAGGAGGACATTCAGCCTCTAGTCAACTCACTTGGACCATCTTGGTGTGCAGGCCTTGGCCCATCTCCGTGCCCCCGTGTGTCAGCAACACAGAACCATCCGTGTACACATGCACCAGGGCTCCAGCCTGTGGGAAAGGGGAACAGACATAAAACAGGGTGGGTCTAGGGCAGCTCAATGTTGTGATTTAATGAGACATCCCTTGGCAGCAAATTTTTCTTTGACTGTTTCTCCCTGTTCCCCCAGAATGAGCGGAAAGTCAAATAGCTTTGTCCACCCATAGGTGAAGGGACAGGTCAGCAAGCACTAGAAGACCCCAGTCCTCCAAGTTTTCTGTTGCTCGTCCTGTCCATAACACACTGGACCAATGGGGATGTGCAGATTCAGCTTATATTTCACAACAAAGAGCTGCTCTTGTCAGCTCTGACCTGTGATAGGTCACAGGACCTGACTCCTCCAGGACCACCAACAGGGGAAAGTCTCTCCCAGAGAGAAGCACAACATCCTAAAAGGCAATTACCTGATTCAGGAACGAAAGGGTGAAGCTTATCCCAAACTTGGTCGGAATTATACATAACCCTCTCTTTTTCCAACAGTTCTCCCTAGAGAGATAAAAGAGTCATCTCAACATTATTTAGGTCCCAGGAGGCATTTGTCCGGCCAACAGCTTTGTAAATTCAGAGAGTGGCACGAAGTTGTCTGGCATCCTTGTCTTCAACAGTAGCTCCACACACACCCCCACCTCCACCCAATTGTTCAACAAAAGCTCTTGAGTGCAGGATCCACACGGAGGTTGAGGTGAAGGTGTGGGATTGGAGGTCCCAACCTGAAATCTGTGCTTTCCTGATTGGGTGAGAGTACTCTGGTAGAGCTAGGAAGGCTCCAAAGGGATGATAGCTTACCAGAAGCCCCTCATTGCTTCCTATTTCATCTGGGTAACTCAATAAGGACGTCAACACCACTTTACAGATTATAAAACTGAGGTCCCACTACATTGGGAGATGGTGGCCCACCCAGAATCCTCATTCCATTCCTAGCTGCACAATGTGAGTTCCATGGGAAAGTAATACTCTGAGAGCCCCAGAAAGTGTCAGAAGATAATGTCCTCCCCTCCAGCCTTACTTGTTAAACTTGTCCACCTCGCTGCGCCGAGCCTGGTACTGAGAACTGGCCAAACACTCCTCCCAGCACCTGGGCAAGGTGAACCCTTCCAGCTTCTGGTTGAAGTGGGTCAAGTCTCCTTCTTGATACATGTTCTTCCTTCGCACCTTCCCAAGGACACAAAAACTGAGGACTTGCCAAGGGCATAAAATTTGGGGGTGGGGTCGGTGGGTGCAGAGAACCCAATTTCAGTTCAGCTTGCAGTCCCTCAAAAGCACCCGCCTGCCTATCTTCTATGCCCCAGGGGACACCAGGAAGGGAAGGCCCTGTCCTCTGAAAAGTGGCTAAGAACTGCTGACTTGTGCCACCAAATTCCCTACTCACTTCCTCAGCAGGCAGCCCGCAGGTCACCGCGACATCACTCATCCAATACTCAGCAATGAGCATTCCCTGAGGACCCCCAAAACCCCGGAACGCAGTGTTGGAGGGCAGGTTGGTCTTGCACAGTCTTCCGGTGCCCCGGATGTTGGGTATTTTATAGCAGTTGTCCATGTGGAATAGGGCACGTTCCATGATCTAAAGCAGAGAAGGTTGGAGGGAGCAAGTAACACATTTGTTTCAAAGGGGTCCCCAGGCCTCCCACCCGGGCCTCCCAGGCCCCATGATGTCCTCCTGCCATTCTCTGGGTCCTCTGCTCACTTGGAATTTGTGAGAAAGTTCAGACTGGAAGCATGATTGCTCAACTTATATTTTTTAAAAGCAGTAAATTACACACGCCAACAGAATTCAAGCACCACAGAAATGTGTGATGTGTAAGACAAATCTGCGTCCCCTTAATCACTTAATCATCTGAAGTCTGCTTAGTTGTGCATGCTTTCAGATTATTCTATGCCGCCTATCATATACTCATGACATACATGCACACGCACACACACACACACACACACACACACACACAGAGTTGCTATGCACCATGCTTAGACAATCTTCGATCATTCCACACACTCTTGAGAAAGGATCATCTCTACTCAGAGGGTTACTGCAATAATGGTCTCAGTGCTAGAAATTAACTTCGGACAGCAGGGGATGGTGAGGCATGATGCATGCCTGCAAGTGCACACAATGGGGGTGGGGTCTGCCCTTAGCCTCCAGTTCCCGGGGCAAGCAGGGGCGCTCCCACTTACACTCTGAGAGAGGTCCAAGGTGTTTCCTGCATTGCTGAAGTGCTCCACCTCCAGAGCCACAATCTTCCCTGTCTTCATGAAGCCAACCTGACAGAAACACGGGCACTTCTCACCAACCCCTCCCTCTGGTTCTCTCTCCCCTCTCCCCTGGGTCAGCTGCAGCCCACCTTGCCAGGCACCAAAGACAGGGAGCCGAGGAGATCCCAGACTGCGCAGTTAAGCCAAGAGATGCTCATCTCTCCCCAAAGACACCGAAACTCCCAACCCTGGACACCCTCTCCTCATCCTTCTCCCGGTGCCTGGTTCTAGAGGGAGGAAGGAGCTGAAAACACAGTGGAGGAAGAAGAAAGACAGGAGTAGGGTGCAGGAACAGAAAGCAGGAGTTACTGGGGACACCCTGCAACTTCAGGCTGGCAGACTATAGGTCCCACTCTGTTGGAGCTGAATGAGCTCCTCTTCCCCACTTTCTTTCTGTGACCGGAAACCTCTTGTGACTAGAAGCCCACTAGTCATGTCCTCAGTGAGGAAACCAGCACCCGAAATGATCAAGGTACTTTCTCTGATCCACAAGATGTGAAAATAGTCATCAAAAAGAACAAGAACAACCAGTGCTGGTGCGGATGCAGGGAGAAAGAGACCCGCATTCGTTGTTGATGGGAATTGCCAAATGGTCCAGCCTTTTTGGAAAACAATATGGGAAGTCCTCAAAAAACTAGAAAGTGGGCCACCATATGATCCAGTAATAATATTTCTGGGAATATATCCTGGGGATGCTAAAAAACACATTAGAAATGACATCTGCACTTGTATGTTCATTGCAACACTGTTCGTAATAGCCAGAATCTGGAAATGACCCGAGTGCCCAAGAACACATGACTGGTTAAAGAAACGGTGGTACATCTATACTTTGGAATACTGTGCAGCTGTTAGAAAAACATGAAGTCATGAAATTTGCTTATAAGTGAATGGACATGGAGAATATCATGCTAAGTGAAATGAGTCAGAAAGAGAGGGACAGACATAGAATGACTACCCTCATTTGTGGAATATAAAATAACATGGGACTAGCACTCAAGGACAGTAGAGACATGAGCAAGGAATATTAGAAGCCTGCCTCATGTGTTGGGGGAGAAGGCAGTTGGGATATAGGAGGGACCACTAAGTTAATGACGGTTGGAGGGACCACTCAGGATGGGAGATGTGTGCTGAAAGTAGATGACCTCTTGGTATCTGTATTGCAAATTATAATGCCCTAAAGTAGAGAGAGAGTAAGAACAAAAGTGCCTATCATAGTAGCAAGAGCGATCTGGGGACATTGGTGATGGAAAATGTACACTGGTGAAGGGATAGGTATTCGATCATTATATGACTGAAACTCAATCATGAAAGCTTTGTAACTGTATCTCATGGTGATTCAATTTAAAAAAAAAAAGATATGGGAATAGGATAAATCCTCCCTATGCTTCAGTTCTGAAAGGGAGAGAGAGACAGAGTCCCTTGGCAGAGTTAAATCAGAGAACAGCCATAAAATGTTACAGGGGAGATGTACAAAGGAAGCTCCCAGGGAAGTGCTGCCAGCTGATGGAGCCTCATGGGGGTCATGAGTTCTGCTGGTGTGTACAGGGTCTGGTCATCCAAACACCTCCAGAAAAGGACAATGCCACAGAGGGTTTGGGGCAGCGCCCATCCACCATACATTGGAGCAGGGGCATATCCCTCCAACCCTTGCCCCTGAGAGTCTGCAGAGCCGGATGTCTCATTGGAAATGCATGAGCCGTTATTCAGAGAATGACAGGGGCCAATGAGCACAGGAACACTGGGCCACCTGCAGAGAGCCCAGCCCCAGGTCTGCTAATAAATCACACTTCTGAGTCTCACTGGACAGAGACCTTTTACAGGACCTCTGCCGAATCAGACCATTGTGAAGACCGCGTCATGGCTCCCTCGGAAGGGGACCTGCTGGCACTCCCCTGACCCACTGCCAACACCCCTCTATGATGCCATTTGCTGTTCTGAATTCTCTGCTTCTCATTTTATCCTTGAGCATCTGCAGGTAGCTGTGGAAAAGTCAGAACAGACCGGGATCTTGGCTCTCTGGCCCTGGGTTTCCAGTAAGATGGCCTTGCCAACCCAAGCACAGCCCCCCCCCAACATCTAGAACCTTGTATTTAGCCAGGAAGGGATGTCTGCCACCAGTTATCAGCATGTCTTCATCCCGGTCCAGCATGCAACGCACTGGGCGGCCAGTCCTGAGGGAGGCACCAGACAGTTAGAAACATGGAATGCTGGGCATCGGCCCAGCCCTCCAAAACCTAGATCGCCTTCCTGGCAGAGACAGCCTTCTTCAGCAGCCCAGAGACCACAGGGAGAACTCACACGTGTGCAGCCAGGGCCACGGCTGTGGACACCACGGTGCTCCTGGTCTCTTTTCCTCCAAAACCTCCTCCCATTCTCTTCACGCGGACCACAATCCGGTTTTCTGGGACATTCAACATTTTTGCAACAAAAGCCTGGAAGCAAGAGAAAGCTGCACTGAATATATCCTGCCAGCTTCTGTCAGGCCCCAGAGCCTGCCCCGATACTGACCTGGGTCTTCGTGGTATTCTGAGTGGACACAAAGAGCTCCATCTCCCCCTCCTCTCCTTTGGGCACAGCAATAGTGCAGTGTGTCTCCAGATAGAAGTGCTCCTGTCCCCCAATGTACAGTTCACCTGCGGGAATAATAAGCCCCCCAACACAGTGAGCCTATGTGCACAGAGGGTAATTCTGCTGATGGAGGGAGGGCACTCCCTAAGCACTCCTGGGCAAGAACCAACCACTTCCTGTAAACTCCAGGTTCTCAAAAGGAGTGGGTTGACTCTCAGTCTTACCCATTTGAAAGTGAACATCCCCAACCCTAACACAGAAGCCAGAGCAACTGAGTCATGCTCTCTTCCTGCAGCAGCTGGGGCAGATCAGACTTTGCGATTCTTGTTGTAAAAGGTTGGATGAAGTAAAGAAGAAATGAGCAGTTGTGATTAGAAAGTTAAAATTAAGGCCTTCCCAAGCACTGCCCAGTGTAGCTCTACTGGTCCCAAAGCACTGCTATACCTGAGTACCACCAGAACTGTCCTTCTCCCATGAACAATAATCATAATATAACTATAATAATAATAATAATGATAATAATGAGGGTCTTTCGGAAATGAATCCCTAGACCCCGTTGGAGGGTTGGGTTGGAACCCTGCCTTGGGGGAAGAGCCAGGACCCAGGGTCATGAAAAGTCTGGGGTGGAAGAAGGCACAGCAGTACCCTCAAACTCACCCCTAGAATCACAGGTTACTTCCAGCTTAGAGACACGGGTACAAAGACTTAAAAGTCTGCAGCTCATTAATCAGGATCTTTCATTAGGAACATACTTTCCTGCTTCGAGACTCTTCCATTTTACTCCTAGGCAGGGTGCCCACCCCTCCCCCCACACACACACACACATCTCCATGCAGCACAGTGCAGCTGTACCTGAAACCACGTTGTCTGCCTCAGAGAAGCCCTTCTTGAGGTCACCCTTCTCAATCTTCAGCTCAGGTCCATAAAAGGAATTGTTTTTTATGGCTTCCTAGGATCAAAAAGAACTTTCAGTGACTTGACTCTCAGATAGAAGAAGAGGGTTTCTGTCTGATGAGGGCAAGGAAATACTTGGGAAGAGAAGTGTCTCTCCCTTCTCACAAATGCATCTCTAACACCTACAGATTCCAAGAAGCTCATGGGGTACTAGTCCTCCTCTGCCTCGGATATCGGTGGACAAGCCTGATCTTGAAAAAAATCATGACTTCCTTACAGAACCAGTAGATGCTGAGGAAGGTGGAATTCAGACTTAAAGCAAGAGCTTAGACCAGATCTAGGATCAGACGGGGAAGTTTTCCCAGGACTACACAACCCAGTACCATCTCTGAGTGGGTATAGGGAATTCTAACAAAGATGCCACTGTGTGTTCAGGCTTCTCCACAGAAGTTCATACTCAATTACCTCCATGGTGATAATGGCTGGAAGATCTTCATAGGTGATTTTCACTGCTAGGGCAGCTCTTTGTGCATGTTCCGGGGTGTCAGCAACCACAGCACCAATGATGTGCCCAATGCAAGTCACCTACAGGAATAGCCAGACTGTCAAAGAATGCCACAGGCACCTGGGCCCTGTTAGAGAAGGCAAAGGAAATCTCTGACCCACCACTTCCTATCAAGGCACATTTTAGGAATGTCCTGGAGGCTTTTTTTCTCTCTCTCCTACTATCCTGGGAATAGGACTCGAAGATCACTCATTTCAGAGGGCAAACTCACTTTATCTCAAGGTTCAGTTACTAGAAGGCTGTTGAGATGCTCCCAGGATGGAGTGTGGTGACTGATTAGTGATGTCTGCATAAGCAACAGAATTGGAGATAGGGCCCAATGAAGCATCCTGGTAACTTGGGTCTTCTCCAACATCCTTATTTTTCTTTTTCATTTTTTTTTTGTTTTTGGCTTTTGATGGTCGCACCTGGAGATGTTCAGGGGTTTCTCCTGACTCTGCACTCAGGAATTACTCCTGGCAGTGCTTGGGGAAGCATAGTGGATGCCAGGGATCGAACCTGGGTCAGCAAGGCCCTCCCTGCTGTACGATCACTACTGCTACACTCTTATTTTTCATAGGAAGAGATGGAGACCCAGACTCCAAGATCACAAGCAGCTAGTGACTACGCCATGAATTTTCATCTTTTCTACCATCCCCACTGTCAATCTTCTCTTTACGGATTATATTAAAACTTTTCAAAGATAGAAATTTGTCTTATGTTTTGTCTAGATGCTCAGAGTGGTACTTCCTAAATGCTGGTGTTTAGACTTGATGAACCATCAGGTCAGGATTTAGGGATGGACTTGTAGAAATAAGACTGTTATTTTAATTTAATAACACAATTTCTTAAAAACCCTAATGGAGGGCTGAGAGATAGTACAGTAGATAGGGCTCTTGCCTTGCATGTGGCTCACTTAATTTTAATCCCAGGCTCTACAAATGGCTCACAAATAGTGATCTATGAGCATAGAGGAAGTTGTAAGCCCTGAGCACAGCAGGATGTGGTCCAAAATCAAACTAACATAAAAGCAGTAGATCTTCTTTAGGAATCGTATTTTACCCAAACAAAGAAGGATCAATATATTTCTTAGCCAAAATAAATTGTCCAACTTCTCACTTTGAAATATGAGTTTTCTCTGATAATGATCTCTAGAGGACACAATTAATTTATTGGCTTAACTGATTGGTGCAGTTTCTGTTGAATCTGACTGATTCACACTAATGACAGGGCTAGCCATGCTCCTGAGGGCTCTTGAAGTTTATTAAGTAATTTGTCCTTCTATATTCTCTATTCTCTTAGAGTTCCTGCATTCAGAGTTAACACTTTTTGTTCTCTCCTTTGCTTTCACATCAATAAGATGAAATTACTCTTCAGCAATATCTACTCATCTTTAATTTGCAACACTTGAACATTTTTGAATAATAAATTGATTGATAATTGTCTCATAAATATATAGAATTTTTCAGAAAATGTCCTGAAATTTTGGAAAAGTTTTTTCCATAGATATAGTTGAAGTCAACAGATGGGCTTTCCTAAAAGTAAACTACCAATATATATTGTGCATTTTTTATGGTTTAATGCATTCTTATTTCTTTAAATCAAGAAGCCTCAAGTGTACCATCAAGAGACCACTTATTAGTTCAATTGTAATAATCAGCCTTGTTTTAATCCTGCTATGACATGGAGACATCTCATGAGGTAAAACGGCAGCTGGACCTTACAAAACTAGCGAACATCTGGTAGAAACTAGAACGACTGCTCAGCACAGCCATCCTTTCACTTATTTCCCTGAATACCATCCAACTGGATGATATCCATAGTATGTGCAAATGTTCAGTCTTCCAGGAATAGAAATTTGGAAGAATGAGCAGAAATTAAAACTTAAATTACTATACTAACTTCATATTTTTAAAATCTAAGTAAAGCCAGAGAGTAGAAATAGTAAGGTGTTTGCCTTGAATCTTGCAGTTGTCCCTGGTATGATCTCCTAAAGGAGTGATCCCTGAGCACAGAGCCAGGAGTAAGCCCTGAGCATAAATGAGTGTGGCCCAAAACACTGTATCACACTGTATCACTGTCCTCCCGTTGTTCATTGATTTGCTCAAGCGGGCCCAGTACTTTGTTGTTACTGTCTTTGGCATATTGAATACATCACGGGTAGCTTGCCAGGCTTTGCCCTGCAGGTGAGATACTCTCAGTAGCTTGCCAGGCTCTCCGAGAGGGGCGAAGGAATTGAACTCAGGTCGGCCATGTGGCTGCATGCAAGGCAAATGCCCTACCAACTGTGCTATCACTCCAGCCCGGCCCAAAACACACACAAGAAAAAATCAAAATTCCAAGTCATACCTCATCCTTGGCGAAGATTGTTTCATCATTAGCTATCCCAGTTTTATTACTTCCAGGAATATCATCAGCAGAGAGAAATCTGTGGAAGCCTGGCACCTTTTGGGCTTCTGAGAAATCTATAGACCTGCAAGAAGAAACTGGGTGAGGGGCCAGGCAAAATAAACATCTGCAGTCGTGCCCAGCCAACCACTCACCCTTGTAAGAGCCTGTTTCCATTTCAGTACTTTTTTATCCACCCAATACTTTCCCTTTCTGTTTTCTGCTCTATTCTGCAAATAATGAACGAACATTTTCCCACTGGACTCAGTGTTACTGGAGATAGAAGGAGTGACCCTGTTCTCAGGGAGTCACAGGGAATCAAGTCACAGCGAACAATGTTTACTCAGAATGGTTCTGATGGCTCATAGCACAACTAATGCCCATCCAAAATCAGTGACTTAGAGCTCGCCACGCCTGCAAAGAGACTAAAAGTCTTCACTCTCCCCACACTCAAAGGATCTTCCCAGCCTGGGGGACACAAAGGCTACCTCCAGCCATGCAGGCCTCCCAGGGAGAATGCTTGGAGAATTTGCAATTCTAAGGTGGTGTCATGCTTAGTTAAGCCCCTATTTCCGAGGAAACAAACCAAGGCAATTCAGAAAAGAGCTTTGGCCATGACCAGTCCAAGTACCAACAAACCTCCAAGCATATCATCCTCTTTAGAGATGCAGAAAAATTTAGTTATAGTCTTTATTTTACATTTGGGGGGAACCATGCTTAGAAAAGTTAAATTGCTGATCCAAAGTCACCCAATCTGAAATCAGGTTAACTGAGTTTGGGTCAGAGGTTATTATAAGGAGTGCCACGCCTGCCAAAGTTGACTCTAACATGTTTCTTACACATGGTCGTATTTTCAAAAAGTACCCAGATTGCTGACTACTTCAAAGTGGTAGAAATGAAGGCTTCCTCCTCACCCATCTGCTCCAACAGAGAAAATTAAACAGTGCAGGTCGATTTTGTCAATGTGAATTCAAATCAAGAGCAGAGGCAAATGAATGTGCTCCACAGATGGCAACAATATCTTACACATACCCTTATTTCTGGGACCAGGAGAGTTTTTTATCTGTGTCCGTTCACTATCTCTGGAGTTCAGCAGTGGAAAGACTCTGATATCAAAGATATCTGATCCCTAATCCACAAGGAGGAAGGGGTATCAGGCAGGATTTCCCATAATTATTCTGCCAAGCAGGTAATGTGTCTAACATCTAGGAGGAATACAGTCTGTGTTTGAATACCCAGAGGCGGCCCAGCCCTGATGCTAGTGCTGTCCAGTTTCACAGTCTTGCTCTGCGCTCACACACATCTGTGTGACCCAGACCTGACCTCCCCGGTGCCAGTTCCTCATCAAGCAGGGGGGTAATAGGGCCTGTCTATAGAGCTGTGGAGGAAAAACTTAATAAATAAAATAATGAGCTGGCATCTGTAAAGCATTTAAAATCAGGGACAGCAACTAAAAAGTGCCACCTGACTGAATTTTAGTGGTGGTGGTGGTAGTGGCAGTAATGTGACAGTGGTGATAGTAAAAATATTGAAAGTAGCAGTGGCAATAATAGTGATCGTGGTGGTAGTAATAATAGCAATTACAGTAGTTGTGGAAGTGGTGGTGTGATCCTGGCAGCAGTACTAATGGTTGGGGTAGAAACCAGATAGACAGACAGTAGGTAAGGTGCTTGACTTGCCTGCAACTGAGTTTTATCCCCCAGAACCCCATAGGGTACACTGAGACATCAGGGCAGGAGTGATCCCTGAGCACAGATCCAGGAGAAAGCCCTGAGCACATCTGGGTTTGGCTCAGAAAGAAAAAGTAATAATAGTGATAGCGGTAATAATGGTGCAAAATCTTATCACTGCCATGGTGGCTATGGGAGTAATGGTAGCAGTAATGGTGGTGGTGATTATGGTGGAGGTGGTACTAAAGTAGTAGTCACTGTCACTGTCCTGCTGTTCATCGATTTGCTTGAGCGGGCCCAGTAACATTGTGAGACTTGTTACTGTGTTTGGCATATCGAACGTGCAGGCGAGATACTCTCGGTAGCTTGCCAGTCTCTCTGAGAGGGGTGGAGGAATCGAACCTGGGTCGGCTAGGTCCATTGCATGCAAGGCAAACACCCTTCCCTGCTGTGCTATCGCTCCAGCCCAAAGCAGTAATGGCGTTGGTAATTATAGTAGAAGTTGGGGAGCTATCACTATAGTGAGGTAGGAAATGGTAGTTAGTGATGGTGGCCATAATAGTGGTAGCGGTGATGATAGTTGTAGTGACAATAGTGAAATCATTGTAGTCATGATATTGTTGTTAGCAATGGCAGTGATCATGAGAATACCGATAGTGGTAGTAACAGTGTTGCTTGTTGTTGCCATGGTAGAGGTCATTGTAATGGCAGTAGCAGTTGTAGCTGTAGTGATAGTCATAGTAAAAGTAGTGGTGGTGGCAGCTGACTCAAGTTCTGCAGAGGCTGCAGGGACATTTGACCTACATCTAGAGGGCAACTCCAACCGGTCTTTCAAAGGTCTTTTTACAGACTATCACTGGTGCTGGAGCAATAGCACAGCGGGTAGGGGTTCGCCTTACAAGCGGCCAACATGGCCGACCCGAGTTAGATTCCTCCGCCCCTCTCGGAGAGCCTGGCAAGCTACCTGTGACATATTCGATATGCCAAACACAGTAACAACAAAGTCTCCAATGGAGACGTTACTGGGCCCGCTCGAGCAAATCGACGATCAACGGGAGGGCCTTTACCTTTACCTTTTATCACTGGTGCCAAGCTAGTGTACAATCAGCTGATGCAGCTGTTCAAGTAACCCAGCCCTTGCCACCCTCTCCACTGTCTCCCCCAGCCCAGGGCCTACTAATACTGCTCTCCAGACTAACCGGAAGAGGTGCCTGTCTTTCCTCTAGATTGGGAAGCCCCGAGAGAGCTCACTATTCGTGTCCCAGTACCCGGCAGGGCTTCCCAGCAGCACCCTCACCCCCACGTCAATGGTCCCATCTCACTTGATCTTGGCGTGCGCCCGGGTGCTGGTGACCAGACGGAGGGACAGCTCATTCTCGTAGCGAGGGATGTCATCACAGTACACGGCCTCCCCAGAGGCCTGCAGGGCAGAGGCCAGGTGGGGCAGGGGACGGCCCACCATATCCTCCTCTGACTGGTCTTTGGGCACCTCCTGGAACCAAGCGGTCACAAGTCAGACTGAGCTGAGGGAGAGACCCACAGACCCAGAGAATAGGAGGTTTGCTTTGCAGGCAAAGCGACTGAGCAGTGATAATAGAGTGGTCGAGAGGCCAGAAAGGCACACTAATGTGTCTGTAACTATGGACAGGCATGAAAAGAAAAGAGAAGAACCCAAAGTGAGAGGGAAGTTCATTCTGTTCCACACAATCAGTGCAAGAAAGAGCCGGCATCTCTGCAAAGAGAACATAGAAGAACTGAAGCCAGAGCAAAGAGCTATGTTATGAGTATAAGTAGGGGATACTGCGTGTATGTAGTTCAAATTCTATAGAAAAAATGTTATAAAGATATACATGTCCATGAAAGTAAGAAAAGGAAGAAAACAACATACAATTGTGTTCTTCTGGATATAGGAATTGGGGAGATTTTTATTTTTCTTCTTTTAGCTTTATTTTTGAAATATTCTAAAATGTACAGTTGGCCACTTAACAACATGAACTTACAGTATCACTAAGAATGATACAGTTCTGCCAATTATTTTCCCTTCCTTGCAATTTTTTAAACATTTTTAGCTAGCTTATTTTACAATAATAATTAGCATATAATGCATAATACATATACAGCATGTGGTAATCAACCATTTATGTTATTGGTAAGTCTTCAGGCTACACAGATGATTAATAGTTAAGTTTGGAAAAGTCAAAAGTTAATATGCAGGGGGTGAGTACCCCTACATTTCATGCTTTGTTCCAGGATCAACTGTATTCATTTTATAATAAAATCATATTTTTATGTGTTTTCTAATATAAATAACTATATTAATAATATTTATTGAATGATTAGTATGTGCAGTAACTATATTAGCTATTTATTTTTACTAACATATTTAATCTTCAAACTCTCTTAAGAAATAAGGACCATAATTACCCACAATGGCAAATAAGCTTATCAATTTGGCCAAAAGGTCAGAGTAGATAAGCAACTTGCCCAAGGTTTCATAGTAAAAAGATAGCAGGGTCTGGATTCAATCCAAGTCATGCAGTCCCAGAGTTTATATCTTAGATCATAACACCCTAAGATAGAAGCTCTCAAATTGTGACAAAGAGGCTTCAAAAACTAGATTTTGATAAGTTGTGATTTTGGGGTTTTTTTGTTTTGTTTTTATATTCTTACAGAGAACTGCAGGTTGGAGTGATAGCACAGAGGGTAGGGCATTTGCTTTGCATGCGATGAACCTGACCGACCCAGGTTCGATTCCTCCGCCCTTCTCGGAGAGCCCAGCAAGCTACCAAGAGTATCTCGCCTGCACGACAAAGCCTGGCAAGCTCCCCACGACGTATTCAATATGCCAAACACAGTAACAAGTCTCACAATGGAGACGTTACTGGGCCCACTTGAGCAAATCAATGAGCAATGGGAGGACAGTGACAATGACAGTGACAGAGAACTGCAGGTTTGGTTCATTGCAGGTCTCATAGGGAGAGAAATGACAAAATAGGAGAAAGAATTCCTTTCAGGAATAGATAAACACTAGAGTTATCCACGAAAAGCCAAAGAGGAAATAGCTTCATTGACATTTCTCTGCTTCTCATTGGTTTCTGTGCCCTAGTTCAAAAGCTTTAGGAGCCTCCGTAAATCTGGGGCCAAGTGTGAACATCGTGGGATGTACTGTACAGCCCACCCCTCACCCCGGCCAGTGAGAACACACCCACCAAACTCACCTGGAAGAGCTGGACATTGGCCGGAGGGTCTTTGTGAAAGAGTAATGTGGCACTGGCATAAGTGGGATCCAGTTTGCCACATTTCTGTGGAAGGAAGAGAACAGAGGGCACATGTTGGTGACTCTTTCCATTGTTGATGCAAACCAGGGTTGTCCCAAGCAGCAAGTGTTGCAGGAGACAAGAGTCCTCCTCTCCTCAACATACCCTCAGTCCAGAGCATGCAGGATGGCTCCCACTTTCCCAACGCGGACTCTGAGAACTGGTTATTTATCTTCAGCACTCCCACTCCACCCTCTACTCTGCAGAAGGAATGATCCATCCCACACCCCAGTGTGTGCTGTGCAAAAATGACCTCTACCCTCTCCTCTCCCCAGACTTCCAGAAACCCTGGTGGCCTCTACCACCACCATGTTAGCTCACTGTCCAGTTAACTCTTCTGGATTTTCTGGAGCTTGGCGGTACAGCATCTTCAAACTCTACGATTCTAACATCCCAAGAGGAGCATGCCAGATTGGATGGGAATGTAATGTAGAAGTCAACTGAGCTAGTGAACAAAAACATTGACACAGAAGCCTCAACTAGCAGTAAGAACTCAGTGATCGCTCAAACAAGCACTTGATATCCCCACGGTGAGATATAGCAATTTTCTTTTACTGATGTAGTTTTGTATAAGCCCACCAGCCATTTAGTGGTCACGATCACGATCATGATCACGATCATCCTGTTGTTCGTCAATTGCCTCGAGCAGGCCCCAGTAATGTCTCCTTCGTCCTAGCCCTGAGATTTTTTTAAAAAGTGCCATATTCAAGGCTCTTTCAGGATTAGGAGAATGAGACCATCATTGTTACTGGTATTTGGCATATTGGGTATGCTACGGGGAGTTTTCCAGACTCTGCAGTGTGGGCAGGTTACATTCGGCAGCCTGCCAGGTTGTCCAAAATAAGAATGAGATAATAAGGTGTCGCGCAGCCACAAATGCGGCTGCGTGCTTCCGGGAGCTGGGTTTTATAGTCTCTGGGTCACATTTAGTGGTAAAAGTAAAAAGTAAAGGCCCTCCCGTTGATCATTGATTTGCTCGAGCAGGCCCAGTAACGTCTCCATTGGAGACTTTGTTGTTACTGTGTCTGGCATATTCAATATAAAATAAATTATATGGAGCCTGCTACAGTGTGACTGGGAAAAGAGGGACAATGGCAGAGGGAAGTAACAGGAGTTGGAGGGGTGGGGGTTGGAGTGTCGAGGGACTACAACAGATCATCGGGAACAACTATGTTAAACCATGGTGTATAAATAAAGCGGAAGGGAAGAGGGACCTGCGCCCACACCCCAATACCACTCTGCAATACCTGCAGCATCCAGCCCCACTCTGTACAGGGCAGACCTGCACCCACACACCAGCTGCACTTTGTCCAGGCAGGCACATTGCAGCAGCCTCTCTCTCTTCCCTCTCTGCACTCTGCACAGGAAATGACCTGCACCAGCATCCAAAGTCCACATGCTTCTCCAGGAAGTACTTTCTCCCTCACTCCTAGGCTGTGTCCCTCCCTCCACACTTACTCTATCTGCTGGGCACACCTTTCTCCCCATCCTTAAGGAAATTCCTTCCTCTTCCTTCTCAGGTCTTGGGACATTTTGAATGATCATGGAAATGTTCATGACATAAATTTATTGGAACCCAGGGGAACATAAACTCGGTATGTGCCTAAGCCTCCATCGGTTTGGAAAGCGATAGAGCCGGATTCAGAGGTAGACAGATAATAATCTAGTGACAGATGGAAGGACAGACAGAAAGCCAGAGCCATGCAGATAGAACAAGACTCCAGGACAGACAAATGTAGGAAAAAGACCAGATGAATTACAATAGCGGTGATAACTTTCTCTGTGATCTGAGAGGGGGCTTTTGGGGTCATGCCCAGCTGTGCTCAGGGCTTACTCCTGGCTCTGCCTTCAGGGCTCACTCCTGGCAGGGCTCAGGGGACCATGTTGGGAGCTGGGGCTCAAACCTGGATCGGCCCCATGCAAGGCAATTGCCCTATCTCTGCCCTCTCTCTCTAGCCTTAACAACTTTCTAGACATGATCTAAAATTTCCCACGATTGGTCCTTATTACTTTTATAACTGGAAAAAATAAACGTGGTGTGGCTCTTTTCAGAGAGGTGCTCCACTCAGCAGTGCCCACATCTACGTCATCTCCTCTGCTCTGTGCTGGACCCTCCACTTTCTCACACTCAGGGCCAACTTCCCTGCACAGCCCTCATCCCCAGTGCCCAGAGAGTCCTTCAAGAAAGGCACAAAGTCTTTGCTTGTGGACAGACAGTCCTGGGAGAAGGGCGCACTCCATCAGCACCCTCAGGTAATGCACAGCCTGTGGGTGCCACGTGCCCCACCTGCTGTGGAACCCTGTCTACACGCTCACCCCATTCTGCATTCCCAGTCTGAGCACCAGACCACGGTCACAGGGACTGTGTTGTTGGCAGGAAGGGGCCGCCTCTGCACCTTAGGTCATGGCCTCTTCCAGGTCTTATAAAAGGCTTGCCTAGAACCCAAACTCAGGCACCCGCCTCCCAAACCAGTGCTCTGCCCCCAGGCACCTATGGTCTCTGACCTCTGGGGGCTCCCTGCGTTGTTCCTGGACATTGCTCCATTGATCTTAGGTGTCCAGAGGAAAGGAGCAGGATCACCAGGTGGTCCACAGCATTAGATCACCCAGAAAAAAAAATCCAAACCCTCCCCCACACACACACTAAAGTGGCCCAGGCCCTCGGTCCCCACTCACATCCTCCGTATCCCCCTTGCCCAGCTTCTGAAGCACCGTCAGGTAGAACTTGAAGAAGAAGCTGAGAGTGAGGGTTCGTCGAAACTCCACCATGCCCCCGGGGGCACTGGGGGACAACTGCAGCTCCTCAGCCAGGCTGGCACACACTTCTTGCAACAGCTGCTCGTTCCAGGACCTGTGGAAAGCAGCTCGTAGGTCAGTGCTCCCGTCAGCATGCAGAGGTGGAGATGTGCTGTGGCCTTACAGGCCAGGGCCTGGGGTCAAAGTTGAACTCATGCTCACCATTCTGGGTTTTACTGAACCCCTGTGAGCCTCAGTTTCCTCTGTCACTGTCACTGTCCTCCCATTGTTCATCGATTTGCTCGAGCGGGCCCCGTAACATCTCCACTGTGAGACTTGTTGTTACTGTGTTTGGCATATTGAATATGTCACAGGGAGCTTGCCAGGCTTTGCTATGTGGGTGAGATACTCTTGGTAATTGCCGAGCTCTCCAAGAGGGGTGGAGGAATTGAACCTGGGTCAGTCGGGTTGGCCATGTGCAAGGCAAATGCCCTACCACTGTGCTTTTGCTCCAGTCCAATTTAAAAAATGCATACGATATAATGAATCACAAAATGAAAATAGTTAAATCTTGAGACTCTTATATGCACAAGGCATTACCCAAGTGCTTTGAATTATGAGCACTTTATTTTTTTAATTGATTGACATGTGACACATAGTGGTTGACAATATTTTCAATGACGGTTTCCCGTGTACATAATTCCTACAACTCATCCATCACCAGTGCACCCATCTCCCTCCCTCAGGAATCCCAATACCTCTCCCTTTCAGCACCCCAAACACACACAAACTCAGTTGTGTAGGTCAGTTCTCATTGTGTTGCTTTTCACCCTTTCTTACAACCTTGCTGTGTATTTTAAGTCCCACTTTCCTTCTGACTGACTTCACTCTCCAAGATATTTTCTAGTTCTATCTGTATCTCCACAAATTGCATGCTTTTGTTCTTTTATAGAGCTAGACATGATGAAATATGAAATATGGTACAATACAAACAGGTAATGAGCATTTTAATTATGAATTTATTCTGAAGATGGGTGGGGCCACACCCAGCTGTGCTCAGGAACCATGAGAGTGCTGGGCTATGCTCAGGGATCACTCCTGAGTCCCATATGCAGTACGAGGTATCAAATCCAAGCCAGCTCTACGCAAGGCAGAGCTTTCTCTGGCCCTTTAAATATGGATTTGAAAACGAAGTAGGTAAAATCATATACTCATTTTACCAAGAGGAAAATCGAGCCATGGAGAAATTGAGCAAATCAACTGATAAGTGTTGGATCCAGGTTAAGTTAATTTTTAACTCTCTTCTGTGGCAACTGTAGGGATGACACAGGTCAGTGATAGGGCAGGGTTTGGTATAACCGCTGCCTTAAAGCAGCCATGATAATAGTAGTAGTTCTAATAATAGGATTATCCATAGCAGTAATAGCAGCAGTAGTAATGCAAGTGGTGGTTCTAGCAGTTGCGGAAGCAACAGTAGCAGAAATAGTGAAATCAATAGGAACAGTGGAGTAAAAAGCAGAATTAATAATAGTTGCAGTAGCAGAGGAAGTAGAAGTAATAGTAATCCCAATACCATCAGTAATGTCATAATTAGTGGTAGAAGCAATAGCAGCAGTAGTGACGCTATTATCAAAAAAATAATAGCTGAAGCAGCACTAGTAACAGCAATAGTAGTGATGATAGTAGCAGCAAAATTAATTGTATCAACAATAGTGGCAACACCAGCATGGCAAGAGTCATAGTCTATCAGTAATGATAGTACTAGTAGTAAAAAGAGATTTCAATATTAGTAGCAGTAGTATAGTGGGTAGGGCATTTGCCTTGCATGTGGCCAGCCTGGGTTCGATTCCTCCATCCCTCTCAGAGAGCCTGGCAAGCTACCGAGAGTATCCAGCCCGAGTGGCAGAGCCTAACAAGATCCCCGTGGAGTATTCAATATGCTAAAAACAGTAACAAGTCTCACAATGGAGATGTTACTGGTGCTCGCTCAAGCAAATCGATGAACAATGGGAGGACAGTGCTACAGTGCAGTAATAGTAAAAGTAATCATGGTTGTAGGAATAGCACCACTAATGATGATAGTAATAGCACACACAGTCACAGCAATAATACAAACAGCAATAGTGATTGGATAAGCAGAATCACGGAAATCAGTTCCATCACAGTCATGGTAGGTGTGGTGATAGCAGTAGGAGAAGTAAGAGCACTATCGACAATGATAGGACAGCAATAGTCGTACTGACTACTAATAGAGCAGCAGAAATGGCAGCAGTGATATTAACAGTAGATACAACAGCAATATGGCGTTTATGGCCAGAAATGTAATGTGTTGGCTGTTGATCAGCAGTATTGCGGGAATAGTAGCAAGAGTAGCGATGCCGTACAGGAAGCAACAGTAGCAGGAATGTGACACTTGTAGAACAGCACTAATGTGGTGGCTATGTGGACTCAGCACAAAGTAGGGACTGTAGTAACAGTGCTAATGGAGGAGTGTATCAAGAATAACATGGGAGTGCTGTAGCGACAGACATGTGGGAGCTGTAGTAACAGTAACAATATGGAAGTTGTTGCAGCAGTAACGGGAGTCACAGGAAGCAGTGGTGTGGGAGGAGTTGCAGTTATAGCAGTAATGTGGAAGTGGTAATAACAGTAGCAATGTGGGAGTTGTGATAACAACAATAAGGTAGGAGTTGTAGCAAGAATAGCAATGTGGAATTTTAGTACCCAGAGTAATGTAGGCGTTGCTAAATAAGCAGTAGCAATGTGGGAGTAACAGTAGCAGTAGTCATGAAAAGTTGTAGCAGCAGTAACGATGTAAGAGATGTAATAAAGCAGTAATGTGGTAATAGTGACAGTAGTTATGTGAGAATTCTAATGTAGGGATTGTACCATACTCAAGTAGAAGCCAGCCATCGTCACAATGTGGGCATCGTAGTAATAGCAGCAATGAGGGAGTCAGAGTGGCAGCACTAATATGGGAGGGGGTAGTGGCAAAGTCACATGGGAATGGCAGTAACACATGGACATGGAAAAAGTAGTGACAATACTCAAGTAGAAGGAGTAGTCACAGCAGTCACTTGGGAGGGGAAGGGAAGCAGTCATGTGGGTTAGGTTGCCAAAGTCGACCTATCTGCCCCCACCCCTCGCCCCTACCTTGTCAGCTGTCTTTGTGAAGTCTTCAAGGCAGCCAGGGTCCGGTCAGCCATCCCACCATAGCAGAGCGCCAGCTCCTTGACCTCCAAGGTCCCTGGCTGGAACAGGACTCTCATGCCACAAGTGACTTTGGCGATGTCATCTTCTCGGCGGGAGGCCTGCTTAAATGCCGAGAAGAACTCACCCTAGAACAGAACAGAGTCGCCCAATCATGCACGTGCAGCTCGGCTGCAGGTTCACCTGACCCCAGTCCAGGTGGAAGCAACTATGAGCTCAGGTCAGCAAGGAGCCAGGGGACAGCCTGCCAGAACTGACTGTCCACTCTAGAGATTGCCTGGGACATCCCAGCCCTGGGAAAGGGACGGAGTTTCTCCTATTAGCAGGAACAACAAACAAGCAGCAGGAGGAGGAAGGAGCTTAGGCAGTGACTTCCTTCTCCAGTTCCCATCCCTCCCCCATCCTGGGACCCAGCATAGAGTCCAGTGGCTCTGCCAAGGAGAAGGTGAGACGTCTCCTGGCCCAACCTTCCAGCAGAGACATGTTGGAGAGATACATGGTGCTCGCCTTGCACACAGCTAACCTAGGTGGAATTTCAGCCACCATAGAGCCCTCCAGGCCCCATTAGGGCTGCTCCCTGGGAGAACTGGAAGAAAGCCCTAAGCACAGTCACGTGCAGCCTGAAAATCAAACCTAACCAGAGAAACACCCTCCAGTCTGTGGCTTTCACAGACTGTCTCAACGTGTCTCTCACTGATCTATGGGTTTGCTTAGGACCTTTGATTCCAAGGCAAGCAAGATAGTACTAGTACTGAGTGTAAATTGCATCCACCAACCCTGGTTCAATGGCCAACCCAGGTCCTCAAGGAACAGCAGGATGACCTGGGTAGTCCCTGGCACTGCTAGTTCTGACCAACACATATCCTTGGACCTCAACCATATGGTTGGCAGAGAATCACCAGTGGGGCCCCCAAGAATAGGCCTCCCTCTCTTCTCTCACTCCCCAAACCTCCCTCCCCCCGCCATTCACCCACTAACTCAGATTCCTGGAGTCAGAGATAGCCTGGCAATGACCCAGAGTCTGAAATCAGTTTTGGAAAGAGGTTCCAGACACTCTCTTCCGGGACAGACCAGGCCAGGACAGAAGGCTTTGCCCGGAGTACCGTGTACTCTTAGGGCTAGATGTCCAGTCTGCTTTCTGAGAAGTGTCCCTAAATATGGATCTCACAATCCTTTCCTCCTTCATGTTGCTCTTCATGTCCCTTGGGGCAAACTGGATGCTGGTGCGCGCTGGATCTATTCCTTTACGCGCCAAATGTTCTCACTGTACTGTGAAATGCTTAACTCTGGCAACCACTGCCTTACAGGGGTCTGTAAGGCCCAGACAGAAATCTTCAGGAAACCACTTGGGGGCAGAGCTGCTCTCCTGTAATTAGCGTTCTTGTTGAGGAGTCAGGATACAGGACCTGCTTCAAGTTATGGGTTATGGATCTGTAAGCCCAAACCACACTCTTTCACAGCTGCCTTCACTCCCTCCCTCATCTTATTGCTAAAAGACCCTCCTGAATGGAGCAGAACCACACAGTCGAGCCCACTCGGGGCCCCGCCAAGAGCAAGGCCGTCAGAGGCTCCCAGACTAAGTGAGCCTGTACACAAAGGGAGGAAGGTTTTCAGCAGAGCACAGGCAAAGAATGACTGAAGGCGGGCTGGAGAGATAGCACAGCGGGTAGGGCGTTTGCCTTGCACGCAACCAACCCGGGTTCGATTCCCAGCATCCCATATGGTCCCCTGAGCACTACCAGGTGTAATTCCTGAGTGCAGAGCCAGGAGTAACCCCTGTGAATCACCAGCTGTGACCCAAAAAGAAAAAAAAAAAAGAATGACTGAAGATCTCTGCAAACTTGAGGCAGGGAAAAGCCATCCTTACTCCTCCATCCCACACCCACCACGGCAGCCATACAGCTGAAATTAATGACTGAGTGACCAGCTGTGTCCTCCAGTAGCCACAGGCCTCCGCAAGGAGGCTTCCGTGATTTCAGTCCTCACAGAGCTTTTCTTGCGGGTCACCATGCTCATTTGACAGACAAAGACCCGGGGGCTCAGAAAGTTGAGCTGCCTGACCCGGAGTCCCACCTCACCTCCCTGCTGTAGGGGATCTCAATGGACAGCAGGATCTCCTCAGGACTCAGCTGAGTCTTCCTGTAGGCGGGGAAGAAGTTTTGGTCCATCTGCAGGGTTCTCTTAGTACCTGTGCGGGAGCAGAGGAAAGGGGGCCAAGTGAGAGGGGAAACAACCTTGGGGGCACAGTGGATGTGATGGCTTCCAGAGTCAGGACGAGGGTGGGATAGTGGGGACCCAAATCCTTCTGCATCCCCGCTGGTGAGTGGGTCACAAGAAAAACAGAGAGGAAAAAAGTAAAAGCATTTTAGAGTACTTGCTAGAATCCAGCATAGAAATATAACGATATGATAATAGGATAATAGAAATATGGCAGCAACATGACGCCTGCCACAGCCACGTCCCGGGACACTGCGCCAGGCTGTTCCACTCGGGCTGCCCCAGAGGAGGGGCAGGTGAGAACCCTCCCCGCTCCAAGGGACCCAGCCCCAGCAGCCAAAAACCTCCACAACCCAACAGCCACCACGCTCAAGGCTGCTCCTCGCACACCCGGGAGGAGCCTCACGCACGAGTGAACCTATTCCTGGACCACGTGGCTGACACATCTTAAGACAATCCCTACCCATTCTCCAAGAGTACCACACCACATTTGATGGGGTTCAAATAGTAGGCAACCAATTATAGATAGAAATATATGTGCATATTTTTTTCAGATATATATGTATACAAAAGTTCATATCACTCAACCTTTAACAATATGTTAGTGATATCCTAAAGAAGTTCTTAATGGCCCTGAAAAATAGAACAATCTTCACACTGTTTCCTCTATGGATACTCTTTTGTAGCATTTTCAGCAGTTCTTCATAACAAACAATACAAAATATAAATATTTCGGTTGTGCTTTGGGACAGGGATTACGGCTTAGGATGGAAATATCCCAAATATGGTGGTGGGATTGATGTTTGAATATTAAATATAATCAAATATTGTGAACTACCTTATAAAATTAAAAATAAATAAATAAATAAATAAAAATAAAAGAAATACTGCCCAATCAGCAGTTTCAAACTACCCTGGTAAATTTGAAAAGCTGGGTACCATAAAGTGGCCTGACTCGCTGCTGTCCTCTGGAAGCAAGGTTTCAGCTCTGTTCTGTGCTAAAGGGCTCTGCATGCTTACGTGAGCTGTGCAGTAAAGGCCAGGCCCTTTGTGGATTTTACTTTTATCCTCCATCTGCAATATTTCCAGTGGAATCTGATGAGGGGTGGCTGTCTGCTGAACCCTGTGAGACAGTGTCCCCCAAACTGGGTTGAGGTGTCTCGGGGCCCCTCCAAAAGGAAAAATGCACACCATCACATAGCATCTTCACTCCAGCAGATGAAAGAGGAGGAAAGAAGCCCAAGAATGTAGCCTCGAAGAGAGGAGATCAAGTAACTAGTTGTGTCTTTAGCATCATTGACTTCCCTGTGATTTGTTTCATTGTAAGTTAATTTGGCAGGTGGGGGTGGAGGTTGGGGACGGCACACCCAGCAGTCTCATGGGCTACTCCTGGCCTCTATGCTCAGGGCCCATGATGTGTTGGGGAATCCAACCACGTCAGCTGCGACCTTAACCCCTGTATTATATCTCCCACCTATGTCATTGGCTTTTTAGCAATGAGCATGTTGATCAACTGGCTCACAGGATCCCTGAAAGCCCGGCCATCCGTCCATTCCGGCTCCAGCATGTGGCTCCAGAGAAATACGGATGATAGAGCCTGTTGTACATTCTTTTTGTACCAGAGGTAGGTGTTCCCAAACAGTGCTCAGGGGTGCGGGGGCCACTCCTGGCAAAACTCAGTCTAAGTGTGCAGGTTGATGGTTTAATGTTTGAGCTCAGTGATATTCTATGCTTGAGCCCAGTGGTCTTTGGAGGATCTAAGCTGATTGGGGAGGAGTGTGTGCAAGGCATACACTCCAGCCCCATGAGCCAACACCTCAACCCCAACCCTTGTCATAGCATCTTGAGAAAGAAACGGTCCAGCACCTGGTCTCCAACCCAGGTGCATGTCCTCTTCCTGGGACAGCCAAGCCAGGGGTCTTTGGGCTCTATTTCTCCAGAAGGTGACCTATCTTGGAACACTTGTGTCCCCTTGCTTTCTGTACCTCTACTTGAGACAACTCACCTTTGGATATGATGGTTAGCTTGGCCCTGCTAGCCATGAACACAGGGTTGAGGTCGGAGATAGGGCTGGCATTGATGATGTTTCCCCCAATGGACTAGGAACAAACAGAGAAGGTGTGAGAGTCCCCCAGAAAGCCCTTGTCACACAGCTGGTTCCCAAACATAGGGCAAGAGGAAGACACCCCCCCCAAGGACCTACACCCCCAGAAACACAAGTCTGGCAGTAATACCTTGGACACGAAGAGCCATGTCTGAAATGTGAGTTTTGAATACTTATTTTGAGATCCTAGTCTAGAAAACCACCGAAAGGAGAGCAGGCCCAGTCCCGGAAATACATTTACTCCTTTCCCTTGCCCTAGCCTTTTCCTGGAAGGGTGGGGTTAGCTCATCACACAAGCTAGTGAGAACTGGGAGATACTGATCAAGGAACATAGAACAGGAAGCCTTAGGGATGAGAAAGAGACTGTTCTCTTTGGGGCTGAATCCTTGGCAAACAGAAGACTGGGTTCTTGGTAGAGCAAAGAGGGAAAAACCCAGTTGCGTAATTAAAAAGAAAGAAAAAGAAGAACAGACTCCTTCCTGGAGGTGGTGTTCCTCCTCTGCAGGGTCTCAGTTACATTTCCTGAGGTCCTGAGTCACCCAGCAATTAGAGGTGGGGCTGTGATGGCAGTGCTCTGTTTTGTTTTCAGTAGGTGAGAGAAGGGCAAGCAGCCTCCCCCGCCTCATCAACTGTTATGAGCCTCTCTCCCCGGGGGTGCTGGGCAGGCGAATGCTATTTGCAAACTGGAAATTGAGGGGCTGATCTGTCTTCTCCAAATTTCTTTCTCACCCACCTGGGGATGACGTGGGTCAAGCTCAGGAAAGGACACAGGAGGCTCCTGACCTCCAGAGTCAGAGGTGGGGACAGAGTTACAGCCTTGGATTGGGGTGGCCCATCCAACCTTCATCACAAACACCAGCCCCACCAGGTCAGAATCTCTGGAACAGGGCCCAGGAAACTGCATTCAACCAGCACCCCAGCCATGTTCTAGTAGCAACATGGGCTGCCCCCTCAGGCAAGCTGTGCCCCACTTGGAGTGAGAGGCTCCTCAGGACCCTTCACGGGACTCACCGCTACGGACTTGACCTGCCTCCCTGCGAACCAGCGCAGCTGCTCCAGGACCCCCCGGAACACCTCTGTCTTGTAGGCTGGAAGTTTGATCACTGCATCCGTCAGGATCTTCTCCACTGAGCTCAGGGAGCAAGCGGCCCCAAAGGTGATCCCTGTGAAGACAGGACCAGGATAGCAGGGGGAGCACCCTCTTCCGCACCCCGAGGGAGTTTCACAGCAGCCCCAGCGAGCCAAGGTGGGTCCACAGCCTCCAGAGAGGAGGAAACCCAGTCCCATAGAGGTTAAGTGACTTGCCCAATGCCACACAACTATTTCAAGATCCCCGGTGTTCTTTCCTCTAGTGGTTCTCTACTCAAGGTCATCAAACCTCTGAAGGCAAAGTTGTGGCATTGTTTGTTAATTTGTTTAAGTACCAGTCATTCTCCCAGTTCCTCCCTGCTCCGTGATCAATTCTAATGCATGGGTGGGTTGAGAAGTGACTGAAAAAATCTTCCCTTCTTGTCCCGGGTGGGGCTGGCTACAGATCCGTCCCTGGACAGTCGGGCCATAGAAAACCTGACAGCAGTGAGGGCCACGGAGGGCGCTGCCCTGGCACCCCAGCGTCTGTGCCCCATTCCAGCCCTGATGTGGACTCCTAGTCCATGCCTCTTACCTTCGGGTCCATGTTCCACGGCATTCAGCTCCGGGACCCAGGCTGGGCAGATAATGATCGGGAACAGCTTGTTCTTAAACTTCATCTCAACACCTTGAGCAGAAGACAGGCTCAGTGTGAGGTTCGGGCTGGCCCAGCCTCTCCCTTCACCCCCAGACACCTGATCCATGGAAAGGAACAATCTTCACAACCCTAGCCAGCTTTGGGGCGAAGCAGGGTTAGCAGACTCAGGGTTTCCATCCAGTCTCCACTGTCAGCTGCCACCCTGTCTTTTTCTCAGAAAGTCCCATCAACATTCAGGTAAGATGAACTTGAGCCCACTGTGTATGTGTTTAAAGACCAGGCCAGAAAGCAGGGTCGGTAGGTGTGGAACCTTCCCAAACTCCTGCCTGAGCTCAGCCCATCTCATCCCCACATTAGTCCTGGAGGTGTTGGGGTTGTCTCTTTTGCATGAAGAAACTGACCTTAGCATGGGAAGGTGGAAAGCTTTGTCTTGGGGTTTGGCTTGTTGTTTTGTCTAAGGTCTTTTTTTTTGGTCTACTTTGCCCAGGTATAATATTGCACCACATAATCATCACGCCTCCCTGTTTCTTTCCAATAACAGCACAACTTTTTTTAAGCTTCGTGTAATTGTTTTTGCAAAAAAAAAATTAATAATAATAAAAGAATAAAATCTGCAATGATTATGCAGTGGCGGGTCGGAGTGATAGTACAACAGGAAGGATGATTATGCAGTGAAATAGGGTAAGAGTGGACACATTCCATTCTTTCCTTCGCCTGGTATTAAGCGGGGGCAGGGTTAGGGGCAATGGAGAACAGCAGCAATAATGTGAACACCTAACATCTAATATTCAAAGAGGAAACTGACTTTTGATCTCCTGCCTGCATGTGTGTCTACCTCTTTTCTTCCTTCCTGTCCAAAGATTCAAAAGCTCTGCGCATAGATACTCTGTCCCAGAGACCCAGTGAGACCAGCACTCCCCTGCCCTCCTCTTTCACCCCCAGGACTAAGGATGCAAAGTTTGAAAAAGAAATTTCTGTGAATCCTCCTAATCCTCCCCCAGCACTCGGGAGTCATGAAGGGCACTCCAAGCTTTGGGGGAACCAGCTTGTTGGCAGATCAGCTCTGGGACAAGGGACACAGATGGGGCAGTAAGTAGCACTGTAGCATTGTCCTCCCATTGTTCATCGATTTGCTCAAGCAAGCCCAGTAACATCTCCATTGTGAGACTTTGTTGTTACTGTGTTTGGCATATAGAATACGTCACGATAGCTTGCCAGGCTCTGCCATGCGGGCGGGATACTCTCGGTAGCTTGCTGGGCTCTCCGAGAGGGGCAAAGGAGTCGAACTCGGGTCGGCCAGGTTGGGCGCATGCAAGGCAAATGCTTTACCCGCTGTGCTATCGCTCCAGCACAGTAAGTATCCAACCCAATCCATTATCTCTGTCCCACACTAGTCCTTTGCACCCCCATGCTTGCCTGCAGTGGATCACACTATTCGTGCAGGAGGGAGAAGAAAGAACAGAGAGAAAAGTCTTAAACTGTCCCTAATGTAGAGCGTATGCAATCTTGTGAATTCCTTTTTCTTGGAATCCGAATTCTGGATGGCAAATGATTCACTGTGTCTTAGATGAGAAGATCTAGAAGACTCTTCCAGTCATTGTGGAGATGCTCCCTGGACGCACACTAAGGCATCCCTAAAGACACACCTCCCAGCCACCTACTGCCCCATTGGTCACAGAACTGTGCTGGAGACACTGCCCTACGCAAAAACCAGGCAAGGCTTAGGAATCCAGCCCTCAGAGCCCCGAAGCTCCCACAGGTCGGCCTTGGCTGCTGACATATATCACGTCCCTCTAAACCAGAGGCCATCTAAGTTTGAACCTTCCAGGGCCACTGTGTTCTGTTGGGGCCTCGGCACTGTGCTTGGGAACCTGCCAAATGGAAACCAGCTGATCCAGGTTTGGAAAGGACTGGCATCAACCAGGATCCAGGCACCTCTGGCCCTCTTGGCTACGAATGTGCCAGACTGTTTCCGGACCTTGTTGCCAGGATCTGGTTACAACAAGGAGCAGCTGTGACCAAGTGGCAGCCTAACAAGACTGGTGTCCTCTGGCTTCCACCACACAGTCACACTCAGACACCCCTTCTTTGCTTTGTCACCTAATCCCTCAAAAATGGGGAACCTATGGAATGACATTAGGGAAATTCTGGCATTTGTCACAACCCATCCTGGACACCTGAGTTCTGGGCCCCCTCTGACCCCATTCCTCTTAGAGACTGGTCCACATGCTGCATGCTTACGGAGAATGACCCCTAGAAACTCTGTTCACTAGAGACAACTCTTTAAGAAGCTCTAGCACCCACAGACAGGGAACGGGGAGCAAAGAGCGGCTGGAGTGAAGGAGCGCTTCTGCCAACAAGGAGCTGCCTAGGTCCGCGTGGGCTCTAGCACCAGGGTCCTGGTAGGCATTCACGTGCCGAGGTTTCCCCAGCAGGCCCCGGGCTACCACAGAACTTACCAACCTCCGTGTTTCCCACCACCAGCTTGGCGTCAGGGTGCTTCCCTTTCAGCTCCAGCAGCTCTTCCAGTGTGGACACCTGGATCCAGGTCACACGCTCCCCTTGAAAGTGCAGCTGCTTCTGGGAGGTGTCTTTCAGCCTCTGAAAGGTGGTTTTGGGGGATTGGGTTGGGTTGGGTTGGGTTGGGTTGGGTTGGTTTGGGTTGGGTTGGGAGTCACATCTGAAAGAAAGTCTTTCTGTCCAACTGTGGTCTCAGAGGGTAGCCTTCTCCCCCTCAAGCCCTCCCACCCCCAAGACATCTGCACAGAGGCCACTCAGAGAAGTACAAGATTCTTTCCTTGTCACAAATGGTCAGGGTAAAAGGAACCAAATCGCCTAGAGAAGCTCATGGTGGCGAGGGGCCTTCTCCTTGCACGGCTCCTGTTCAACAAAAAGAGCAGAGCAGGGGGTTCCCCTTATTTCTAATCTGGGAGCACTGATGGGGAAGGATGGGGTCCCAGAAACCTTATGCCTTAGATTCGGTCAGGCCAGAACTTCCTTCTAGAACTCCTGTCATTGTGCAGAGAGTGTCTGAGAGACCATGTGTAAGAATAACAGAAGGTGGGGGGAGCATGGGAGGAGGCAATGGGGTGGTTGGCACCTGGGTGTCGTAAAGGGATGAGATTCAGGCTGACACCTATATAACAGGAAAATAACGACGATCCCTGGTGATGAAAATTGGCCAGTCTCTGGGGCTCCTGGCACAGGATCTGGATAGTTCCCCTGGGTATCACCTACCAGCAACTCCGGGGGAAAGATGGGCTCCTGGGTGGGATCCAGGGGCTGGAATTCCTCAGGATTGAATAGAGATGTCGAGAGTGTCATCTTCTGAAAAAGGGAACAGAAGGCGAGATCATGACTCACTTAAAATGCCCCAGGAAGCCACCCGCCCTCGGTCTGGGCACCAGCAGGCTGCTGTAGAGCCTCGGGGTCTGAGCAAGACCATTTCTTCCCACAACCAGCATGCTGGGAGGTGAGAAAGAATCCCACTGGGTTGACCTGAGATTGGCCCCTGCTTCCAAGGAGGGGAGGACCCCCTTACCGAGTCATCTTTCTTCTGGCTCATGCAGCAGTTAGGGTTGTCGCCCTTTCCTCCACAGCACCCACCGTCCTGCAGGGAGGACCAACATCTGTTCATATGTGTGGCTAAAGAAACTGCTTGATTGTGTTGAAAGATCGTATGACTGAAACACAATCATGAATAGCTTTGGAATACCCTATCTCACAGTGATTCAATTAAATAAATAAATAAGAAGCTGGGTGATTACTAAGCATCTAGCGTAACACTCACCCTTCCTGGGGTCAGGATAGCAACAGATGCCCTACCCAGCACCCATGACCCTGCAGGGGATTAAGACCCCTACTTTAAATGTAGAGTGAAGAGCTCATGGAGAAACATGGGTCTCTTCTGGAAGCAGCCGAATTTCACCCCTGAAAGTGTGTGTCCAAACAAGTCGGGGTCAACGTCATGAGAACCTCTCTGTGCCCTTTTTCCCTCATCGGTGCCACCTCCACTGCTTCTTGCACCTCTACTTCCAGATCAGTCCAGTTCACTGAGCTCCTAGCTGGGGGCTTTGTGAGATTCCCAGGGAGGGTGACCCTGACCAAGGCGAGTGTAGAGATGGTCCATCCAGAGTGGGTCCCTATTGACTCAGCGATCTTGGGGATAACTCCTTCCGAGCATGTTCTAGAGGACATGTCAAACTATTCTGCAGGATTGCTAGACTGTTCTCAAGGACATGTAGACTATATGGGGGGCTCCTAAACTTTTCTACAAGACGTACGAGACTCTTCAGAGGATACACTGCACTAGACTGCTCTAGAGGACTGATGGACTGCTCGGAGAATGTACTAGACTGTTCTAGGCCATGCACTCCTCTGATGACCCAGTGCCACACAGAAAACACATGTTCCAAAGGTGCTTTCAATATTCCAGGGCCAGAGCTGAGAACTGAGCTCCCATGGCTCCCTCCATCAAGGGTGGGGAAAGAGTGTGCTCCCCTGATTGATCCAAAAAGCCCAAGAGCAGCTCAGTGTCTTGGGGGACAGCATACGGGAGCAGTGCTTGAGAGACTAAGTAGCCAATCCCTGAGAGAGGCAGACTGGGGAGGGGGGGAGCCCTTGTGTAGGTAAAACATGGGCCATATTGGTCCTTCTGACTCTTAACAAAGGAGAGTGCCACTCCCCAAGCGTTCCCAGGAAATCCCAGAAGGCCCCAGATGACAAAGGGTTTGCCCCAGAGAGCTGGCAGACCCCGTCAGACTTGGCAGCAGGACAGAAGCTGCCCACCCCACCCCTGCCATGCTGACACTCTCCTGGATAGACCTCTCCACGCCCACAGCTTCACCTGTGTAGTTAAGCGCCACTCTGTCTCCCTCAGACCACTGTGTCCTTCCCCTCTGCTGCTGACCAAAACGTAGGAAGGAGCAGCAGCTCCTAGCATGCCTCTCCTTGTGCTCTTAGGGAGGTCACCAGGTGGAGGGCTTCCCACCCCCTGCACATAGGAGGGGACCATCAGCTTGCTTCTGGTCAGGGAGGAAGGACATATTTTACAGAACTTCCTTTTCCAGAGAACTAAAAACCCAGGACACACACACACACACACACACACACACACACACTTTATGTCTTGGGTCACACTTGGCAATGCTCAGTGAGTGGCTATGCCTGGCTCTGAGCTCAGGAATCACTCCTAGTGGTCTTGGGGAACCAAATAGGAGGCCAGAGATTGAACCTGGGTTGCCCATGTACAAAGCAAGCACCCTACCCACTGTACTATCTCTCTGGCTCCACATGCTTGGAACTTCCTATGTCTATTCATTGCTGTGTTCAAGACACATAGCCTGGCAAGCTATGCATAATGTTTTCAATATGCCAAACACAGTAACAACAAGTCTCACTGTGGAGACTGTTACTGGTGCCCTCTGGAGCAAATCAAACAATGGGAGGATAGTGACAGTGATTGTGAGTTGACAGGAGGTGTCATTGCCCTCAACAACTATGCCATGCTGGGTGAGGCTGGTTCTTTCTAGGAGTTCTTTCAACTTTTCTGGCAACTACAGCTGCTGGATGCTGGCTTCTGTCATAGTTCCCCACATGGACGCTGCCATTTCTCACAGGAACATTCCCCCTTTCAGTCTTGTGCCTAGGCCCTGCAAATTCACAGCCCATCTTGGTTAGAACTGCCTGCACCGTCAGAAAAAGCAGCTCTGGGTAAAACCTGGGGTGCCCCATGTGGAAGCGGCGCCAGCTAAGCTCACTCTGCCAGCTCCTCAAACTGGGCTTGGCCACTGCTGCCACAGCCCGCTGGGATCCGGAGGTACCGCCAGGGAGAGAGCAGTGGGAGGCTTTCCATGACGGCAGGGCAGAACCCGGGAAGGGACCCAGCTGCCAGCCCCACTCAGCAGGCCTGCTCCTCTGAGAAGCAAGACGGGCTGGCGGCATCCTTCCTCCAGGAAGGAGCTCCTAGGAAGCAGCATTGTGGGCAGAAGCAGCAGCCCAGGGTTCTCAGGCGTCTGCACCAGAGGGTGAGGTTGAGTCACGGCAGACAGATTGGCATCATCACCGTGGCTGCCGCCGTGTGTGAACTGGGAGAAAGGTGCCGGGCACTGCTCCAAGGCCTTTTGAGGGAGGTCCCCGCAAAGGGGGCAGAGGGGAGGAAGCAAACCTGCAGTTAGACAAGGGAACTTGCCCAGTGTTGTACCCCCATAGAGCAAAAGAAGGGGACTCGAACCCCTGGTCTGCGGACTCAGGGCTGAACATGGGCATCATCCTTCTGAGCACTGTTCTTCATCCGTCCCCACCGGGCTCTTCCCTACTGCCTTCCACGAGTGTGCAGTTCCCAGCCTCAGAGGCAGGGCGCCAGCTCCACCCCTTTGGGGTTCTTCATATATACACACATACAACAAATCGATGAACAATGGGAGGACCGTGACAGTGACATATAGATATAGATATAGGTATAGGTATAGATATAGATATAGATATAGATCTTAGTGAATCACCATAAGATACAGTTACAGACTTACAAGCTTTCGTGATTACATTTCAGTCATACAAAGATCCAGTACCCATCCCTCCACCAGTGCCCATTCTCTTAGATTCTTAGTGCAGCAACTCTAGAGGCCAGAAGAAAACACAAGATTCCCTCACTCTCCCCTCCACTTGAGGGGAGTAAGAGAAGTGGGGGGGTGGGGTGTCTGATGAAATCTGGGAAGCTTAGTCTGGACCTGTGTCTCCTTGCCCGAGGGCAGGGAGGGATATCTGGGTTGATATCAGCCATCACTCCTGCAAGCAGTGGCCTCAATGGATTCACAGACCGTCTGGGTTCTGATTAACAGCTTCAAAGGCCAGCAGAGGGCCAGTTGGCAAAGGAAAGGGTGCGAGCGGCAGGCAGGTTGGCTGTGGCTCTTAACTGCCACGTTCAGCACCTGGGCCAGGTCCCAGTGAGCCCATCTCTAAGAAGGGCTGCCAAACCCACATGCCCTGGAGGAAATTAACTCTTGGGCAACAGGCCTCTTCCAAAAACCAGCTCTTCTACTTTGCTAGCAGGAAAGTTCCAGAACTATTGACAAGAATCCTCCTGTGTAAGAATGGCAAGTGGAGCATGCATATGCTGCCTGAGCCCATGTGCTGCTTGCACCCATGTGGCCATGGCCAAGGACGTGTGGTGCATGAGCACATGTGTTGCCCGCATCTCCTCTCTTGTGACAGTTACCTTCATGTTTTCATGCCTAACGCTGGGATGTGTGTAGGGGCTCTCTCTTGAGCATGTTACTTTCCATTCTCTCTCTCACTTTCACTCCTTCCTTCCCTTCAAAACCTCCAAATAAACTATGCAATTTTTTTTCTCTTTTTGGATCATACCCAGCGATGCTGAGGAGTTACTCCTGGCTCTGCACTCAAGAATTACTCCTGGTGGTGCTTGGGGGACCATATGGGATTCCAGGGATCAAACCAAGGTAGGCTGTGTGCAAGGCTGTACTATCTCTCTGGCCTCAAAACTGTGTAATTTGAGAGAGAGAGAGAGAGAGAGAGAGAGAGAGAACGGCAGGTGGGAGGCATGTGCCTGGCAGCTATCAGAGGCTCTTGCCCTCCTCCTGGTTCCTTGCTGCCCCAGGCCCCCACTTACCCTGGCAAAAGTCCGGAAACCCTGGAGGATGGGTCTGTAGCCAGTACAGCGGCACAGGTTCCCTGCGGGCCAAAGGAACACTGAATCACTGGGGATCCTCTGCCTGGAATGCCCTGGACCTCTTTAATTTCCTGACTTCCAAACAACTGAGTGCTGCTTCTTCCAGTAAGTCTCCCTAAGAATCCACAGACTGCATTGGTCGCCCTCCCCTGGGCTCCTGGTCACCACATCCTTCTTACCATTGTAAGCCCCTTCCCCACAGATGACAGCTCTTGAGCAGAGGGCTCAAGTCTCTCGTCCCTGTGCCCTGAATGTCTACAATGCCGAATGTACAGCAGAAACTCAAAGAGCTGACTGAGCAGGCGATGGGGTGGGCGTGCTGAAAGGAGGGGGAGTTCTGTACAGAACCAATACCTGGCCCCAGCCCAGAAGGCCGAGTGGTACCAGTCCCTGCCCAGGACATGAACTTCTCCTCTCCCTCCCATGTGACCTCTGCAGGCCCCTGGTGAAAGTTAGGGGAAAGAGATGTGACTAGCTTGGTGGACTTTTCCAAACGATCATCTGCATTGGCCTCCAGCTGACGCCTGCTGCTAGCACTGGACATGAGCACACGCACGATGCCAGGAGACCCCAGGAGGACCCTCCCCCCATACCCAAAGCACTCAAAAGTCTCCAAACCAAGAGCAGGGCAATGTCCCAGCAGACTTTGGCCACCACACTGGTTGCTGTTCCACAGAGCACCCTTGCCTTCCCACTTCCCAGGCTTCATCCCAGAGACCTTGGAAGGCGTCTTCAATCTCCTCCATGGTGGGCTCAGGCTGGTTCCGGAGCAGCGTGTACATGCTCATGACTATGCCAGGGGTGCAGAACCCGCACTGCGAGCCGTGGCTCTTGGAGATCCTCTCCTAAGGGAACAGATGATGCGCATGTCTGCTTGAAAGAATCCTTCCGGCATTGATGTGACCTTCCCAGGTCCCTACATGGCCCAACCGATGTCATCAGCTGCTGGTAAAGAGTGGGGGGAGGGAGTCCCTGTCACTGCCAGAGTGCAATTCTGGGACCAACTCTTGGTGACCGTGATCTCACCTGGTTTCCGTACCTCCCAGCTACGGACAGATGAGAGTCTGTATCCCAGGCCTTCCTTAGCGTTTGCTCTATAGCTGAAGGGGAGATTAAGAAGCACCAGTATGCATTTGATTCCAAATGGAATGCCTTGGGGTGAAGGAAGGGGTCGGGAATTTGGGGCCACACCTGGCAGTGCTTGGGAGTTTACTCCCAGCTCTATTTAAAGGAGGTCAGTCTCAGTGGTGCCGGGAAACCACGCAGCACTGGTGAAGGAACCCGGATCTCCTTCATGCAAAGCCTGCCTCCAGCCTGTTGAGCTGTTTCTCTGGCCACTGGCATGCATATTTAAGTGAAGGCTGACCTTGCAGTTGCAAGAAATGTGCCATCTAGAATTTACTAGCTACGAGAACTCATGTGGAAGTTTTTTATTATAAGGAGATGCTCCTTGTCACCTTGGGAATAGCCTCGGTATTTAGGTTAAGTTACATTGATGGATTTTCCCACCCACGCCCCTAGCAATTCATTTTACAAATAGGTACTAAGAGTCTATTGTGCCAGACTGGGCAATGGTACTGGGACAGAGCAGTGAAGAAGAGAAATAGTGGTTCCTTGCGCTCCTGTCTTAGGAAAGAAATGCTGACAAATCTTAATAGGAAAGTTCAAGGTGGAGGCAGACCAGGGTGGGAATGAGGTACAATAGTACCAGTGGCTACTTATGGCATCAGAAATGGCTACTTTTACATGGCTAAATTCCATGATACAATTTGGATGAGAAAAATCATAGACCCTATATGTGATCTATATAAGATCATCTGTCCTGTCCTCCCATTGTTCATCGATTTACTCGAGCGGGCCCAGTAATGTCTCCATTGTGAGACTTGTTACTGTGTTTGGCATATTGAATACTTTCGGTAGCTTGCCAGGCTCTCCGAGAGGGGCGGAGAAACCGAACCCGGCTCGGCCAGGTTGGCTTCGCGCAAGGCAAACGCCCTACCGTTGTGCTATCACTCCAGCCCATATAAGATCATATATCATATAAACATTATATGATGGATATAATATAATTTGGAAAAACGAAAAAGCAAGCTGTGAGCACAGCTCCTGCACAAGTCTACTGAGTGGGATCCACAGAAAAGCCAGTGAGGGGAAGCCCAGGGGATAAGCCCCCCTCCCCACATCCCACTGGCAACAGGCAGCCGGATCCTTTCCTCCCTCAGTCAGGAGAGGATTTGGATTCTAATTCTGGGCGTGATGGGAAGCCCCCAGGGCACTGTCAACAGAACAAGATAAGATCTTGCTTGTGTCTTTTTAAAGAGCCAGAATCACTGTTGGGTAAGGAAGGGACAGTCACTGGGGGTGGGAGTGGTGGCTAGTGGAGACCCAGTGGACAGGACACTGAACAGTGCTCAGGTGAGAGGTCCGAGTCTTGACCAGATAGCGAGTGGAAATCTGAACAAAATTGAAGGTTACATTGTGGTTCTAGAGAGTGGTCTGGTCAGATGGGTGTGGTCAAAGAGTAATTTGGTAGACCCTTTATCCTCAAGCTTCTTAGCAAATTAAGGGAGCCAGAAGCGAAGGGGGTGGGAACTCATGATGGTTGAGATAGGATGTTTAGAAAGTGATGGCACACAGACAATGGTGACTGAGCGGACCTCCAAGGGGAGGTCAGAGCCTGGGAGCAGACAGAAGTGCCCTCGGTGTGCAGACCGTATTGATATGACCTCTGATGCAGGCAAAGTAAGAAACATAGGGACAGGAAGCAAGGGGAACCAAGTGAGCCTGGACGTGAACACAGAGGAGGGAGGAAGTAAAAAAGTGGGTGGGCCAGTTGGCTCTGACACTTGTCTGGAGTCAGAATCAGGCCCAGAACATGACTCTGTCCCACAGAAAAGGGGCTCAGCCTGCCCAGACAGATACCATACCTGGGTGCGACAGCATTTTCTTTCATCAGCTGTTTCAAAGAAAACTTTCAAGTCCTAATTAACCTCTCACACCCCTGCAGCTTAGACACCTTAGTCATTTTTCCTTTTCCGGCCTAAGACTCGAAGCCACCAAAGTGACAGGGCAGTGCCCCGCCTGACTCTGGCCTCACTTTGTTCACTCCTATCGCTCTGCCTGAGGAGTCACATCCAGGCACTCGCTCACCCTGAGGTCCTGCCCCGAGATCCAGAGCGAGCATCTGAACCCCAGTGTCCCTGACCAGCAAGTACTGTGGGAAGGAAAGGCTCGCATCCCAGCCTCGGCAGGCTCAAAGCATCTGAGGAAGTGAGAAGGAACCTGGGTCTCAATGCCACCCTTTCCCTGAGGACACTGCCACCATCACAGGAGGCCCCGTCCCTATTACCTGCACAGGGTGCAGCCTGGTCTTGGTGTTTCCAATCCCTTCCACTGTTGTCACTGCCATGTGGTGCAAGGAGCAGATGGGCGCCAGGCAGGCATTGGCTGAGAAGTGGCTGGCATCCCAGATTAAGGTCGTTCCTCGGTCATGAGGCTGCAGTCCCCCCTCCACGGCCCCATGTTCTTATCTATCACCTCAGTTCCCTGGTGCGGAGGAGAAAAGAGGGGGGAGGAAGCAGTTCCTAGGAATCTCTAGGCTGCAGCCCGATGACTATCAGGCAACTCTTCTACAGCACCACTCTGGATACCTACCAGTCAAGAGTAAGTTTCTAGCAAGTCCTAGATCTGTATGAGGACCCTTCTCTGTTCAGAGTGCATCCTATCCTGCCCTGATTCCTGGGCTTTCCTAATTTCACTCTCCGGCATCAGTTTCATCCCCTTTTGGGATGGAAAAGTCCCTGGTCCCTGGAGGCCCAGTCCCAGACAGAGCTTCCTGCTGCCCCTTTCTGAGGACCCAGCCCAACTTCAACCTCCACCCAAGTTCCTGAGTCCTGCCCATTGGCTCGGCACTGCAGAGGTGGGTGGCTGAGGAAACTGAAGAGAATATGACCCTTGTGCTTGTTGGAAAGTCAAGCCCCTGAGAAGAGGCGATTTTCAATGCATGGAGGAAGCTCTTCAGGAGGGCTGGACGCAGGATCCCACAGGACCAGGACAGACTGGGACTCCCAGCCCACCCTGTGGGGCCAAGGATTGCTTCCTGGAGTAGGTGCCAAAGAGTTCACAAAAGTGAGCCAGATGGGAACCCCTGGAAGAAAAGATGCAGGAAGGAAACAACCTATGCAAAAACCAAGTCAGCAGTGATCATGGGAGTGGCTGCTTCACAGCCGTCACTGGTGCCTGACTGACGAGGAGAATGGACGTTGGCGAGTAAAGTCGCTGTTGATCATAAAAGGACTCAGATGTTCCACAAAGACTACCTTGGTCCAGGGGCTACAGCAACCCGGAGAAGGATCTCATGGGATGTGAAGAGAGTCCAGATTTTAGAAAGGTCCCAGGTATGCCCGCATACCACCTGGCTCACCACCAGCCCTCCCCCGCCCCCCAAAAAACAGTCCAAAGGATACACGATCTTGTTCTGCAGCCGATCATACTTGGAGAGCATCACAGTGCATGCTCCGCAGCCCCCTTCTCCGCAGCCCAGCTTGGTCCCGCTGAGCCCCACTGGATGGTCAAGGGTTAAGGAACGGGATGTCAGAGAGAAGAGTGGCAGGCTGACCTCCAGGCCCGCAGGATCCTCACCAGGGAGGCTGACTTGTCTTATCCACCTCACTGATGAGGCAAGGTACCAGATCCACAGGGCATCAGCACCCGTTGTCCACCCTGGGACTCAAGCCCCAACACCTTCCAGTCCCAGAGTTTGGCGATAGGGTCAGCCACCCATAGGTGTGGCGAGATGCATGGCCTCAGGGGCATAGGGGAGTGGTGGTGGGTGAAGGTGAAACCAGAGGCTGCCCAGCAGCTAAGAGTAGGGACAAACCTACTTGGGGACTCCCCCCAACCAGAATATCGTAGGCTGATAAAGCTCAGGGACCAAAATTTGGGCCAGGCCAGAGCATACCAGGCACACGCAGGAAGTCAAATGAAAGGATGTTTGAGATTGGGGACCACTTAAGTGGTCCTCCTCTACAGATGTGGGAAGGAAACTTCTGCTTTGAGTTTGACCAGTGAGGACTGCGCAGGTCTTCTAGAGTCCAGACATCATGACAGCACTTCCAGCAGAGGTGGGATCTTTTCGCTCTTTCCTGGGCAGGCACCCAGCTTGTGGCTACCGGGTGGATGCAGGGAGTTGCAGGATGTGGCACCTGGCCTCCTCCCTTGTTTTCAAAATAAAATTAGTGCCTACCTGTGGTCTGGACTCCAACACTCATTACCATGTGCTCATTTTACCTTCCCAATAATTAAAAACCAACAACACGGAGACCCACCACGCAACGTGAGCTATGCCAGGTCACACTGCCACTGGTATCTCCTTGAAGTTTGGGCCAAACACAGCCCTGGGGTGGCAGATGTGGGGCCTCCTCTATCATTATGCTGCTGCTTCCAGTACACAGCTGGGGCGTCAGGGAGAGGGGACCCCCTAGGTCCTGGAGGTTCTCTCTGGCATCGCTGTTCAGATGACTGAAGTTAGATGGTGACAAGCGCGAGTGGCACAAAGTCTAGCAAGTAGATGGTTCTGGAATGGAATGCAGAGCAAAGCCAAGGCTGGGGCATCTCTTTGCCAGAACTCCCAGGAAAGGAGCCACAGGGATTTCCCTTATGCGTGCTAACTTTCAGTTTTGGGTTTCGTTTGTGGTGTGAACTTTACCCCCAACCAACTCCTGTATCTCTCAGGCCCGAAAATATCATTTGGAAACCCAAATGGATGTCCTTGGTTTTTTTTTTTTGGGGGGGGGGTGGTGTTCACACCTGGAAATGCTCAGGGGTTACTTCTGGCTCTGCACTCAGGAATTACCTCTGACGGTGCTCAGGGGACCATATGGAATGCTGGGAATCTAACCCAGGTCGGCCGCATGCAAGGCAAATGCCCTGCCCGCTGTGCTGTCACTCCAGCCCCTGTCCTTGGTTTCTAAGGAAGAGCCTATGTCCCCAGACCTCCCAGGCAGGTGTGCTGGACATGGAGTTCCAGTCTGTCCCTAGCCATCTGACTCTGCCTCCTCATAGAAGCTGTGAAGCTCCAGGGATATGACCCACCTCCAGCCCTGCCCCCTTCAGATACGAAGTCAAGACAGACTGCATCAGAGGCTTGTGACGACGGCAAGCCAGCCAGAGGTGAGGGCAGGCTTCCATCCAGGTTTGCGTGACAATCCTTCATCGACCCCCATATGCTAAGGGTGAGCCACTGCACTCCCCACTCAGTCAGAGGGGTGGTTCCTTGAGGTCTGGAGGAGCAGCTTCCTGAGAGGAAACCCCTGAAGGGTTTCTAGTTGGGAGGAAGCTGGCAAGTCTGACTGTTAGCTCTATCCCAGACTCTAAAGCTCTGGTCAGTGAGAAGGTTCTGGTGCCTTGCCATATACAGGGCCACCTCCAGTGCATTTCAGGGATTGTTGGAGAAGTCAATGGGAGAATTTGCAAAAGCCCTGAACTCCATGCTTGAAGGACTCTCCAAAGTTGTCTCTTCTGTCTGCACCGGTAAGGGAGTCTAAGGGTCTCTGGTTCCTTTCCTACTATGAAGGAGCAAAGGGCTCCCCATGGCCTCCTCACACGAGAAAAGAAAGCACCCTGGGGGGCTGGGCTTGGATACCGTTAGCCGTCAGCAATGCCCCAGGAGAAGCACCTCTCCACACTGTTCCCCTGGAAACCTCCCTTTCCCATAAGCGCCCTGACGGGCCGCTCCCCTTGTGCAGAGCCAACAAGGTCCCCTTTGCAGAATCTGGTTGGGATTTAGCAAAGTTCTCCAGGACAGAAATGGCTGGCATGACCTTCACTGGGGCTGGACGAACCTTTCAAGTCTGTCTTCTTAACAGGCCTGAGGGAAAGAGTGTTATCAGAGTCTTCCCACCAAAGATGTCCAGGCACCTCAGAAATAATTCCCTCCTCCAACTTCTGGGTCTGTCAGACTCGGGGAGCTTAACTGGTTCCCCCAGGTCACGCGGCTATCAGTGTCTCAGCCGCAAGCCTGGGTGCACAGCCCTACTCCATAACTCTTCCTCCACACCAAGCCTCCCCTGCTGTCTGCAAGAACTGACAGGAGGCCCCCCGGGGGAGTGTCTCCATCTTCTCCCATCCTCCCAAAATCAGGATACTTTTTCTTCTCAGATAGGCCAAGAGGGTTGTTTCTGGGTCTGCATTTTTCTCCACCACCTACAGGAAAAAAAAAAAAGAAAGAAAGAAACATCTGTCATGGGGAGAACTAGCCTTGGGTTTTCCCAAGAATTGGGAGAATTTTAAAATTTCTTCTGTGGGATTAGTACCAGGAATTTTGCTCCATGACTTGAAGGCCAGCCACATGTGCTAGGTGAGAAGGAAGCTCAGATAGAGAAGAGAGCACCAAATAAAGGGTGTTGTGAAGACCCTCCCAGGGTGGGAGAGACATGCTAAAAGTGGTCTATAGACCAAACATGACTGCCACTCAATGCCTCTCTGGCAAAACACAGTACACAAAAGAAGAGAGAGAGAACAGGGAGGAATGCCCTGCCACAGTGGCAGGGTGGGACGGGGGGGGGGGGAGGATGGGGGGTCGGAGGGATGATAGGACCCGTGGTGGGGGAGGATGGGCACTGGTGGAGGGATGGGTACTTGATCATTGTATAACTGAAACCCAAGCACAAAAATTTGTGAGTCTATAAGTATACTTCATGGTGTTTCACTAATAAAAAAAAATGATAAATAAAAAAAAATTTCTTCTGTGGGTCTGGAGGGTGGGTTTGAGGTCCACCCAGAACTGCTCCTGGCTGCAGGTTCAAGGACCGCTCCTGGCATTGCTCAGGGTACCATACTCAAATGGGGCTCAGCCGCATTCAAGATAAGCATCTTAACCCGTACTCTCTTGCCTCCTTACCCCAAAATTTGTAGAGTTGACAGGGATTTGCTAAATATTAGGGGAAAGTAGGATTTGTTCTCGAAAAGTCTGTAAAACTGAATCTATTCAACCAGCCAAACTATGCTGGCATCCTCCCCACGCCCCCCTTCCCACTAAATTCTCAGAACCCACTGCCAAGCATACAAGTGTTACAGCAGCAGCTGCAGGAGTGGCTGTGTGAGCATATGAGCAAACCTCCCCCCAAATCAGTATGTCATCTCCTCAGCGCACCCACCAAGCTGCTGGATTGGGACTTTACGCAGAGGCATGGACAGCGCTAGTGCCAATATATCAGCTCAGGGCCCAGGCTCACAGAGAAGGGTGAGGTGTGCCCGGCAGGCAGCACGGGCCAGCATTGTCACACCTGTCCGATATGTTGGGGAACAGGCGTTCCATATAGGAGAAGGTAGCTTGCATGCCAAGGTGCCTGTTCTCAAGGAGAAACGTTCAGGAAGGTCTAAAGAAAATGTCCCACCCACCTTACACATCAGCAGGGTAAGAGGACTAGGATGACTGACAGGGTTTCCTTAGAGAGAGCTGTACAATGAGTTCCACTTCTTACAGTAGAGCAGGAAGTGTCTGGCCCACACCTTAGACTTCAGGGGCTTACGAGATGCCGCAGGTATGGCCTACAGGCATCCCTTGAGGTGGGTGTGGGAGGGCAGCGGATCTGGTGGTCTGGCAGCACAACAGCAGAGATGGGATTACCAGATGCACTAGAGAGCGGCCATGTTGGGAGACTGGCATGCTGCCAGTGTGTGGGAGAACGAAGGAGACCGGGGCAGTGTTAGCCATGGGTGTCCGGCAGAGCCTCCAGGAAATAGAGTTGACTTAGGGCATTACTTAGTGGTTCTCAGAAGGACCACCCTCAGGGGCTGATGGCCAAGCAGAGAAGGTGGAACACAGCCCAGAGTTTGGATGGGAGGGGTCTCAGAACACCTGAGGTTGAGGGAGAGCAACAAGTCTGAGAAATGGGCACTTTGATGAAATGAGCTCCGCAGTTTACTGCTCTCTGGTGTGGAGAGAGAGCCTCGGGGACAGCCTCGCTACCCTCCCTTCTCCGCCCTAGACTAAGTCTGCATTTGACAATTTAGAGATGTCCTTGCGGATTTTTTTTATTGACTCAGTGTAATCAAAAAGGCCACAAACCTGACAGAATTTGCCCCTTGAATAAAGTTTAAAGGAAAGTGAAAGATAAGTTTCCTTTGGTGATTACACCCATGATTCCAGTTCATTCAAAGTTCAGGTTACAAAGTACACTTAGAAGTGCTCTCTTTCCTTTCGAAGATGAGATTGTGGCTTCCCAAGACCAATATCCTGATTCATTTTTCCTCTGAAAACAGTGAGAGTCTCTTAGCTCTCTTCCTCCCTGTAGGGAGTCTACCACTCCTGTCCTGTAGACTTGTCTCCATCCCTGAGTCATCCCTGGCTCACTGTCTTCAGGAAAACACACACACACACACACACACACATTCAAGGAAAATCCAGATTTCTAAGTCATCTTCCAAGTGTCTCCAGCAGACTCCAAGCTTCCATTTCAATCTTTCCCCCATCCTACTTATCTCCAAGCTTTGTGCTCTGGAAACAAAGCTGCTGACCCTGCCTTTGACCGTCCTACTACCTTCCACCTGCATCCCTTCTGGAAGAGCCCAAACCTTGCTCAGGAAAGTCTTTCCATACCACACAAGCCCTCAGTGCCCAACCCTCAAATCACTGCAGGGAATGGCTGTGCCACTCTCAAGGCATGACAGCAGCGTTAAGCCCCAGTAAAACTCAAGCACCAGAACAGTGACTGAAACAGAACATAACCCATCCAGTACAACTAAATCTCTTTATCCCAAGATGATTTTTCATAGACAAATGAGTCAATGGGATTAAAAGGAAGAGTCCTCCCTAATAGAAGAATGCCTGCTAACAGAGATGGTGGGCCACGGTGGGGGAACCACAAATGAGGCTAAATGGGAAAAGGGGTGGAGGTTTGATAAACACAATATTACGACCTCAAAATATCTCCTCATAGATGATTATAAAGGGATAAAAGAGTTCTCCCGCAATGGCAAGCCCTGGCGGTCACACCTTAACCCAGTGATCTGAGTTCTCTGTTATCAGAGATAATGGAGAACATATAACATGATTGCCTCCTGACACAGCAGCTTGAGAAGGACATGTCATTTCTCTGGCATCACTGCGTCAAATGCAGACTTGGGCTGAGAGTGCAGCACAACTTAGTACAAGGGGCATTCTGAAAAAATCACTGAACCGTTCTCTTCCTAAACATCAGTTCCAAAAGACAAGGACAGTTGAAGAGTTGTGGGTTAAAGGAACTAAACACTGGTGACATCTAAGTGTAAGACACAATTCTGCCTCTGGATTTGGGGGCAGGCAGGAGAGGGGGCAAATTATAAATTCAGAAACATCCACATAATGTTGCATAAGATTCATTGAGCTAGGTCATCTCCTTAGAGCGGTTTTCCAAAGCGGACAATGCCACCCCCTGGATGAGCTAGAACAGTGAGGGGATAGGCTAGAATGTGCCTTGGAAGAATTTTCTGTTTGCTTCCTTAGAAGGCAGATTTCTGGAATGGGATACCAAGTAATTTTTTTTCCTGAGAAAGGAACAGTAGATCAAATAAGTTTGAGAAACTCTAAATTAGATCATCACCAGACTTCCTGATTTTTCTAAATAGATTATGTTTCTATTCAGATTATCCATGGTTTGAGTTTGATGGGAACAGGGATATGAGATCTGAAAGTGACTCTCAAATGAAATTATGCTCAGAAAGAAGACATGTGCTTTATATGTTTAATTATATTAATTGAATATAAATAAATACATAATTTATATTTGTAAGATGTGAACATATATGTATATATATAGAGAGAGAGATAGTGTGATACAGCAGTTGTGACAAATTGTTTATAGGTGGCAGAATGTAGGAAGTTATTTTATAATTTTTTAAAATTCTTTTTGAAGGCTTTTTAGTGAGCTTAAAATAATTTTAAACCACAAAGCTTAAAAATGAATGTCTTTGGGGCCAGAGTGATAGTACAGCAGGTAGGGCATTTGCCTTGCATGCGGCCGACCTGGGTTCAATCCCTGGCACCCCATATGGTCCCCAAGCACCGCCAGGAGTAATACCTGAGTGCAGAGCCAGGAGTAACCCCTGAGCATTGCTGGGTTTGAACCAAAAAGGAAAAAAAAAAGAATGTCTTTAGTAGAATATTTCTCATTCCATTCGCATTCATCAGGGACCTCCCAAACATCAACACTGCGCTAAGTGGCTTGACAACATCTTGAAGGAGCATTTCACAAGAAGAGTCTCTGTGAACTCCAAATTGGAATCTATGGTTATAGCCTTATCCTGATTCTGCTCTACAGCTGGTCCTTAGGCTCCCAGTGGCAAGTCCCTGATCCTGAGCAAGTGAACTGATCCCACAAGCCCAGCAGGGACTTGGTGCTTGGACAGGAGACATATCCAGGAAGACTCAATTTCCTCACTGACATTTGCACGTGGCCTGAAAGGGATCAATCCTGGACCCTTTCAGTCTCACACATGCTGAATCTAGACTCCTGCAGGGTCTCTGATTTCCACTAAACAGTACTGTTTATCAAAAAAAAAAAAGTAAACAAATCAATAGCAGTGGTTCTTCTGCACCACCATCCATCAAGAGTAGCAGCTCCTTCCCTCCAATGCCGACCCCCACCCCAGAAACCCTCAGGGTGTTTGATTGCTCTCTTCTACCAGGACCTCTCAAGAGCTGTCAGAAGCACCATCTGAACAGAAGGAGGCTCAAGCTCACAGTGAGTCACACTGTCTTACAGCTTCCTTGGCAACTTCTTTGCATAAGAGCTGGATAACAAATGATGAATTACATCCTGGAAACTGAAATAAAACAAATTTACAGGAACTTTTGATGGGCAGGGAATTTCCTCGTTTGATGCTTTCAGAACTTTGCCTCATCTCTCCCTGCCTTGCCTGTCAACCTTTCCTTCCATTTCTTAAGAGATCACCCATTTATTAATTGCAAACATGGATATTCATCACGGGAACCGGCTGTCATAGAAGCTCCCAGAGAGAGTAGGGTTTTGCACAATGATCATGATCACGATCACGATCATCCTGTTGTTCGTCGATTGCCTCGAGCAGGCACCAGTAACGTCTCCTTCTTCCTAGCCCTGAGATTTTAAAAGAGCCATATTCAAGGCTCTTTCGGGACTAGGAGAATGAGACCTATCATTGTTACTGGTATTTGGCATATTGAGTATGACACGGGAAGTTTGCCAAACTCTGCCGTGCAGGCAGGATACTTTCGGTAGCCTGCCAGTCTCCAAAGTAAAAAGAAGATAATAAGATATCGTTAGAAAAGATGAAGCAATGAAATTTACATACAAGTGGTAGTACATGGAAAGTATCATGTTAAGTGAAATGAGTCAGAAAGAGAGGGATAGACATAGAAAGATTGCATTCATCTGGGGAACATAAAGAAACACAATAGGAGACTAACACCCAAGAATAGCCGAGATAAGTACCAGGAGGTTCAATCCATGGCTTAGAGGCCAGCCGGGCATTCTTGGGGAAAGGGCAGCTCAGATAGAGAAGGGAGCACCAAATAAAAGGTGTTGGGAGGATCCTCCCAGGATGAGAGATGCATGCTGAAAGTAGACTATAGACCGAACATGATTGCCACTCAATGCCTCTTTTGCAAACCACAGCACCCAAAAGGAGAGAGAGAACAAAAGGGAATGCCCTGCCACAAGGGTGGAGTGGGATGGGGGGAATGGGGAGTGGGAGGGATGCTGGGACCCGTGGTGGTGGAGGATGGGCGCTGGTGGAGGGATGGGTACTTAATCATTGTATAACTGAAACCCAAGCACAGAAATTTGTATGTCTACAACTGTACCTCACGGTGTTTCACTAATAAAAAATTTTTTAAATGCACAATGATATTCCTTAGAAATGTTACATAGTTTTTCTTCATGTGAAAATAAAATACAGAGGAAAACTATTTCTACCAAGTCAGTCTTCCTTGGAATGTTCCTTTCTAGATCTTTTTTAAAAAATTTTCATTAGTGAAACACCATGAGGTACAGTTGTAGACTTACAAATTTTTGTACTTGGGTTTTGATTATACAATCATCAAATACCCATCCCTCCACCAGTGCCCATTTTCCACTACCACGGGTCCCAGTATCCTTCCCACCCCCATCCCCTTAGATCTTATATTTTAAGAAAAACATTCTTCAGAGAAGAGCAGTCTGGGACCATCACGCCCAAATAAATGGCTTCAGAAATAGTCAAGTCTTCATGTAGAATGGGACCTTGGAAATCATGACACAGCGACTCACCTATGTGAACATTGCCTAGAAAATTCTCCCAGAAGCTGCCAAGTTACACTTACGGGAAGTAAGTTATACTTACAGGAAGAGTCAAGCTGCTGCTTGACTCTCTGCAAAGAAATTGCTGAGTATAACTAAATGCTAGAGAATACTGGATGTAAGTTTTCCTACTGCAGTGCACTAACTCTTGGTTTGCTGCTAGATGTCATTCCTGAGAAGCAATGAGCACAGAAAGACAACTCTGAACCCCGAAAAACAGACTTGACCACACTCCCAGAGCCTTCTAGGGACACTACGACATCTGACTCCAACTGTCTTGATAGCAAGGACGAGCCCAGACTCCAGGAATTCCCTTTCTATTCACCAAACACACCTAGGAAAGTCAACAACCAAGTGGCCTATTAAACACATTTTAGTTCTTGAAAATTACATTGTTAGGCCAGGGTGATAGTACAGCGGGGAGGGCATTTGTCTTGAATTCTACCGACCAGAGTTCAATCCCCGGCATCGCATATGGTCCCTGAGCACCGCCAGGAGTAATTCCTGATTGCAGAGCCAGAAGTAAACCCTGAGCATCGCCGGGTGTGACCCAAAAAGAAAAAAAAAGGAAATTACATAGAAAGTCACCCAGTTTCTCAACTCCAAAGTACAGATAGAGGGCTGGGGGATAGCAAAGCCATTAGGTTGCTCGTCTAGCCTGGACACAACCCAGGTTTAATTCCCACCACCATGTGGTCCTCCGACTATCACCAAGGACTGCCCTGGAATCCCTTGAGGGGCCTGCAGCAGTGCGGTCCTGATATCCATCCAACATTGCAGGGTCTGAGTAGAACAGAATTCTCAGGCCCTTGTGCTGAGTCAATGGCCAAGAATCAGCAGTGTGGCCCCTGGACTTTCTGCGCACTAGTTGGGACCCAAAAAATAAAGGCTCAATAAAGCAAAACAAATTAAATTGCCCTTTGGGGGGGGGGTGGCTTCTGGGAATATAGTCATACACAATGACCACACACCTCTTCCCAAGGTGCACTCAAGGCTCCTCATATTTCCACCGGGCAGCTGGAGTCAAGCTGCGCATCTCCTCAGATGCGGAAGGGTGAGTTGAGGTGAGGACAGCGTACGGGGTCTGCACCCACTGTTTCTGCACCTGCACTCAAACTGCAAAGTTTGACTCCTGTGGGGCTTCGAGGATGGTAGGAGACCGGAGACTCCCTCCTCTCCCCTCTCCCACCTGCCTGGTTGCTCTTGCACTGGTGAGGGTGACCCACGGGGGTCATCTTTATCAAAGCTAAAGCTTTCTGATACTTCTCCACGACATTCAGTTGGAAGAAGAAAGCAGGCTTTAGTGAAAACACGGAGACTTGCCACAAGATGTCAGTGTCTGTCCTCACAAATCAGAAGCCTCTTTCGGCAATGAGAGACAGAAGGGGAGTCTGAGTGCATCTTCCAGCCTCTTTTGAAGAGGGAGCTCCCGTTCCTTCTCTCAGCAGAGTAGTGAAAGCTTTCGGATAGTTTCTATGACATGCAGAAATGGGGCCTAGTGGATGCCCCCACTTTCACCTAGAGCCCTGTGCTCCTTTCTCATCTGCATGCCAGCCTCTCTCTCCTGCAGAGTTGGCAAGACACCTCCCTCCACACTTCCCTTCCCCCTCACTCCCTGTCCTATTGAGTCTCCTGGAAAGGTCCCCAGTGTGACCCGAAATACAGAAGCCACACTCAGAGGGGTGAGATGAAGAGGAGCAGAGTAAGACGTGACATGAAACAGAGGAGGAGGAAGAGGAGAAGGGCACAGGTGCCTTCAGGGGAAGCAGGCATGCCCGACCAAAGGTCAGCTCCTGCTTACCTTTCTGCCATTCACAAAGAAAACCAACTCGTCTGCTGTCATTGTCACTGCTGGCCGAGGAGGTCCCCTGCACTCAGGTATCTGCTTCCCAAGAGACACTGGCAGTTATGACAGCTCTGTCACTAGAAAACTACGCCTCCCAATAAAACGAAACCAAGTGGGCCAATGGGAAGGAAGCAGTTCAGAGCCTCGGGGCATGGAGAGTTCTTGGCAAAGGCCCAGGGTTTGCATAATACAGGAAGACTCCTACAATCTTACACCAAAGATTGCTCTCAACCCTCCTGTCAAAGGGCACAGGGGAAGGTGCATGTAGATATGAGGGGAGCAGGTGCTGCTGCTGCCAGCTGACCATGGTCCTGGGCTCTGTTCTAGAGTTACTTGCTTGCCCCTCCCCCTGACCGAAGACAGGGAAGGCGGCAGCGCCAGGCCTGAGCCACCACACAGCTGATTCATAGCCTCCATAACCACAGAGGCTCTTACCCTTCAGGTCTGCAGCAACCCGACCAGGCACCATCAGGGAACTCCTACAGCCTGGAGGAATACACACCACACGGAGCCTGGGATCCAAGATGAAATACCCAGCCTTTCACCTCAGCAATTTACCTCGCTCCTCTGGACTCAGTTGGTTCCACCTTGTAAATGGGTCTATAAAAGGTTACCATTGTAACTGTATCCTCAGCAACACAAGAATAACACAAGCACCCTAATTACCAGCCAGCGGCCTTCCTCCACCCAGTGTGCATTTACCTGTGGTGTAGATGTACATGCATTTAACCCCTGTCAGCCACAGGGGTCCCCCTGACACTCAAGCTCACATGCTCACACGGACAGTCTCACACACTCATGCTCACACACACATACATACACACCCACGTTCACACTCACACACACACACACTCATATTCACCTACATACGTGTTTCCATTTAGGCTCACGCAACTCACATTCACATTCACCTACATACGTGTTCACATTCGGCTCACACACGCAATGTCCACATCCATGTTTCCACCCACCTCTTCGCATACATGCACGTGTTCATACCTACATACACCCAAGTCTTTTCCTCCTCACACGCTCACATTCACAACCTCATACACCAACTCCCGCTTGTCCACACTGCCCTCCTTCACACACACACACACACACACACACACACACACACACACACACACACACAGCTGCAATCCCCCTTCAGTCCTGTGAGGACCCTGGAGGTCACTCAGCAGACTCTCAAAAGGGGATCATTTCCCTGGCACGCATGCTGAGCAGGGGAGGACACTCCATCAGCCTTTCTTTACGCCAGAAGGCATATTCCACCTGTCAGGCCCAACAGCCCAATGGGGCCTGGTTTTACCCCCTAGATTCCAACTGGTCTTCAGTCAGGGGAAACGGGTTGGTCATATAAGATCATGGTTCTTTGCTTGGGATCTTTCCTCCCACACCAGGAGCCACTTGGCAATGTATGAGAAACATGATTTCTTGCCATGCTGAGGAAGGGTGCTAAAGGCCTCTCACAGCTGCTGAACACCCCGCCCTTCACAGGACACTCCCCAGTGAGGAATTATCAGGCTGAAATATCAGTGAGGGAAGGACTGAGACATTGTTCGGAAGGGAAGGAGAAGGGAGGAGGAGAGAGAGGACGGAACTTGGGGACCTTCTTTCCCTGATTGCTCTGTAAGTGAAGACTCCTGTGTTCCCAAAGCCCCCACCTGAGGAAGCCTCACTTTCTCTTAGCCTGCCTCTAGGGAGAGTTCAGGATGCCACCGAGCGAAAGGGGGTGCCTAGGAAGAGCTTGGCCTCAGGGACCTGGTCTTAAGTCTGAGCCTCAGTACTTGCGAGGAACCATGAGCTCTGAATCTGCTTTGCCGGCTCCCACTCTAGTGAGAGTCCAGAAGTCTGGTACCACTATGAGGGGGTCTTGACTTCTTCCCCTCAAACTGCACCTGTTACAGAATCCTGTCCTACTGGTATGCTGAGGTGGGGGAGGGAATAGGACCCTCTAGAAGGTTCTGTTTCATTCCAATTTTATTCCTCTAGTCAAGAGTTTATTTTGGTGACAGTGAGATTGGCCAAAGACTTTGACTTCATACAGTTCCTTCTTTTTTCAGCAAAATATTTGTGAAATATTTCCTTTCCTCTCACTAATTTTTTTTCAAGAGCTCATGAAGTAGGGAAATATTCTGGAAGAAGCATTTTCTTTCCCAGTAGAAGGCTCCTCAGCGTTCAACCTGGGGGTGAATTCTCAGTTGGAGCTGAATGTTGTCACAGCACCATAAGAAAGCCCTCCTTCTTTCCTGACAAGTGCCCTGGTGTCTAACCCACTGTGTGCAGGCCTGTGAGGTCCACAAGACCACAGGGGAGCCAGAGAAACCCCTAAGCCTCCAGGGACATGAGTGTCTTCTTCGTGGGTCCCAAGAAGGAACAAAAATAAACACATTGCCAAGTTGAAGTCTGCAGAAGTCTGCGCTCTCTGAGGGCCCGGCCCTTCCCCTCACCTACACCCTCTCTCTCCACCCCCCACCCAACCTTGTGCCCAGCAGAGTTTCCAGAAAGCTCTGGACCTTCTCAGAAGGCCTGGCCACAGTGAGGTCCCTCTCTGTGCAGGCTTTCCTGCCCTCTAGCTTGTGTTCTTGCCGTGGTAGAGGCCAGCCTCCCGCAGAAGGCTGACTGCCACCCTGAACCCCTGGGCCACTCACTCTTCTCTTTTCATCCAATTGTACACTTACACCCACGCCCTCAGTTCATTTTCTTTACCCACAGCACATTTCACTAGAAAAGAAAAAGGTTAATATTGGGGGGGTGGAGTCATACACCTTGCAGATCTAAGGGCCACTCCAAGCGCAGGGACTGGGGGTCACACCTGATCTCAGTGCCAGGAATCAAACCTTTTGCATTATATATGTGTATGCTTATGATATATATGATATATAAAGCATATCATATTATGATATGTATGATGTATATATATCAAAATATGATATATATGATATATATATGATGTATAAGGGATATTATATCAAACACTCCATGCCAGGATGTTTTCACTCGGGGCACCCCAGAGTGGGGCAGGTGAGAGCACTCCCCACCCCAAGGGACCCAGCCCTGACAGCCGACCTCCACTACCCAACCGCCACCACGCTCCAGGCCACTTTCCAGACTGTGCGGCTGCTTCTCCAGGCGACACATCATAAGACACTTCCTATCCGTTTTCCATAATTACCACACCATATTTGATGGGGTTCAGACATTAGGCAACAAATCATAGAGAGAAAAATATATATATCTATACCTCTCAGAGAGCCTGGCAAGCTACAGAAAGTATCCCGCCCATACAGGCAGAGCCTGGCAAGTTCCCCGTGGCATATTCGATATGCCAAAAACAGTAACAATAACAGGTCTCATTCCCCTGACCCTGAAAGAGCCTCCAATCACTGGAAAAAACGAGTAAGGAGAGGCTGCTAAAATCGAAGGGCTGGAAGGAATAGAGACATTACTGGCACCCACTTGAGTAAATCGACAAACAACGGGATGACAGTGATACAGTGACTATGACATCATATCAAAATATTCCACTGTTGGATTTTTTAAACTAAAAGACAGTAAATGGTTGGTGTTTACTGTTGTTTTTCTCTCAAACAATTTTCCTCCTACACAGACTCAAGCTGGATAAAAGGCTTTCTCCATTCTCAGAGCATCCCTGCCCAGCCACTGGCGCTCCTGATGTTCTCCAAGACATCTAGGTTACTCACCAATCCTAATAACAGCTCTTGACACCTGAAGAGCATTTCCTTCACATATGTAATTTTATAAATAAGTGCCCTGCCAGGTGGACAGGAAAGGTATGATTATCTTCCCCATCCAGCAAGGAAAATGAGGGCCAGAGGGGTTGACTGGCCAACTGTCTCCAGTGAACAGGTATTTTTTCTGCCCGTCACCCCCTTCCCAAAAGGTCAATCATGGGAATGTGAAAACCAGGATGGTGGGGCCGGGACTGTAGCCCAGCAGTACATGTGCCGGGCATGTGTGAAGCTCTGGGTTCCATCCCTAATGCCATATGTTCCCTGAGATTCAACATGAGTGACCCTCCTGAATGCTGCAGGTTGTGGTCCCAAAACAACAACAACAGCAACAACTCTTTTAAACCAGGGCTTCATGAAATCTGCTGCCACGTGTATAGAATTGGAGGATGTCACGAGAAGCAAAATAAGGCAAACGGAGAAGAACGTATACCAGCTGGTCTCACTCATCTGTGGTATGTAGACAGACAACACAAAGGAATAGACAACACGGAACCATGAAAAACTCTGGGCCTTGGGTTACAAAATTCAGATAACCAAGCAGTGGAGGGAGTATAAGGGGAAATAATGAGGCCAACTGGAGGTGACATAAGGATAGTGGTGGAGGGTCATGGACACTTAGTGTAGTGAAATGTGTTTATCTTGCATACAACAGATTCCCAGCACCCCAGATGATCCCCTGAGCACCACCAAGAGTGACCCCTGAACACAGGGCCAAGAGTAAGCTCTGAGCACCACAGGCTGTGGCCCCCAAAACCAAAAATAAATGAATGAATAAAAATATAAACTAAATGAGTCCTTGAACTAGAAAGTGACATTTGACCTTCTGGTTAGTCTTTGCTCTGCCAGAGAAGTAGGAGAAACAGACACTGTGGTAACAACAACCTCCCCTCTCTTCCAGTCCCTCAGATGGTGGCTTATCAAGGGGCAAAGGCAGGAACACGTTGCTGCATCTGCCCAACTCACTGACATGCCCTTTGCGGAAAGCTGGGAGAACAGGGGCCCTTCTGGAAGCCTCTGGGTGATTTACAGCTTCCTGGAACCAGGAGGGAATGCAGCCTCAGGGCAGAAAGGCTCAGCTAAGAGGCATGGGGTCCTGAGGGGAGGTATTATGGGCTTTAGTCAGGAGCAGTCAAGGAAAAACAGAGCTTATGAAAAGGACACCATGCTTCCAGGATGATCGGCAAAGATGGCAAGCCTAGTCAATCAGAGCCTCTGGGTCATGTCTCCAGAGCATGCAGGTCCCAGATGACTTCCTACTCCAGGTGTGTGGCCAGACCAGCAGAGTCATAGTCCC